TTGTTCCTAGTGCCAAAAACTGTTCTGTATAGATTTCATGGTTGAGGATGTGCCTGATTATTCCCAGGGAAGTGCCCAATCATCCATTTGATGGTGTCCGAGCCGTGCCGGTTCGCACTAGGCACATGAACGCACAACGCACACAATCAATTTTGGGTCGGCTGTGTTTGCCAATGGTTTCTTTGATGTAATTACCTTCCTTTGATCCACGTGGTCCATATTTGTTTCTGCTGCAAGCATCTACATGGATGGTGTCATCTTGGACTGCTGAAGTCTGCCAACGCCAAGGCTTTCCAAAAACCAAACTACTACAAAATGGGGGGGCCCGGAGGCAATACTACAACAATCTACAACATGATTGCGGAATAGAGTTCCAACAAAGCGCAAGCCGTTTGTGGCTTGTGGATTCCTGTTTGCAAACTTGTTGTTCAGCAATGGCCTTCCTGCTTTCATACTTGCTACTGTCATACTAAACGACACAAATGTTGTTAAACTCTGCCACTGCCGACGCTCTCTACGAACAAGCTACACAATGGAGCGGCCCAAAAGCAATGCTACAAGGATTCCAAAAGCGAAACAGCATGCCATTTGGGGGCTGGTTATCTTTGAACATGGTTCTCTTCCTGGTTCCATTGCTCCTGTGACGCTAGACTACATAGATGTTGTCCCAAGTTTGGGCTGATAAACTCTGCAAACGTCACGACGTCTCAAAATCCAAGTTACAAAATGGAGGGGCCCATCAGAACTGTTGCTTGTGATCTTTTGCAGTCATTCTTCTCCTGTTTTCCATATTTGTTCCTGCCAAGCTAGTGTGCATAGCCGTTGTCTTAAGTTTAGACATCGACCGCTTAGATATGAACATGGCAACATGTTATGTTCAAAGCGGAATTTCGCAAGTTTGTCGAGACAGCTGGAAAACTGCAAAATGACAGGCCCTGGCCCTGACCCAAAGAAATGACTTTGCTAGAAAATGCAGGCCACCAAGGTTAATACAGTATCTCAACACAGGGAAGGACCCTCTAAAAAGTTGGAGCTGCTCTGGCATATATGCACCAAAGGCGTTACTGCAAGTGCTGAGTTTTCACTGTAAGATTGCGTTATATGATCGAAACTTCCAGTTTGTGGTTCTGTTGGCCTTCCCAAGCAAGCTTGTCGCCTCACTGTGTTCATAGCCATGAGGATTCGGATTTGCACGCATGTTGTATACTTCAGCCGTATCAGGGACTTCAGTCCCATCCTGATATGTGATGGTCGATGTATTGTCTGTCAATTGTTAAGTTGAATGCATCTCCCATAATGATATTATCATATATTATCCAATAGTTTGGTGTCCTATAGTTTCATGTTGTAGTAAAAATTTTCAACTTCTATGTATATACAGTATGTTCTTGATCAGGTTTGTTTGAGGGCGTGTGGTCTGGTGGAGAGTCTAGCTTTAATGAGCGTAAACATGGTAGACGTGATATGATATGCGAATACTGAATAATTAACAAATACGAAGACAAAGGGATCAATATGGCCTTGAGCAAGACACCGGTTCCTCCACACAACGCAATAGGGCATGATGCGGTTTGAGGCAGTCTTAGGAAGCCCATAAATCAAACCACACCTGTCTTGGCTGCAGGCGGTTGCAAGGTCTATGTGTACTCATGCCGGTGTTGCCAGCTGGCCCCAACGGCCCGGCAAAGCAGGCGCTTTGAATGCGAAACACCCGATTTCGAACCCCAGCCTCGGCAAAGTTCTGTGCTTTGCCGCAACATAGTGTCCGTGTGTATGTGAGACACGCACGACCGTGGGTTACTCTCATCCTACTCTCTGAATTGTTCAGGGGAGGAGGACCTTTTTTCAAACCGAGGTCGCTAATTCAGAGTGACGTCGCTGACGTCGTTGTGAGTCGAACAGAGCTATGGTCATGGTCACTAGTGACGTCAGTTTCTGGCTTTGTGACTGGCAAAGGCCAGGCTTCGTCCTGATAATGTCCTTCCACCAGCTCCACTCGCGAGATAGCTTTGCCTCGGCCACCAAAAGAAGCGCCTTTTTGTGGCGAAGTGGTACACATGCACAGTGCCGGTCAAAAAAATCTGTGCAAGTCGGTGAAGCAATTTACTCGAAGGCTATCGAAGACTGTTGGTTGTCGCCTTTTCAGTCGTCTGCTCTCTCTCTCTCTCTCTCTTTTTTTCCTTCTTTCTTTCTTGCTCTCTTGTCTGTGTTGTGTGACAATCTACGACGTGGCCAACATCGTCCATTCTCTGTTTTGTAAGAACCCGGCTCGTCCATGGAATGCCCCGGTGGAGATGCTCTGCCCAGCAGCGGAAGCGAGGCCCCAACGTGGCCTTCACCGGCCCCGTCCAGCGGTTTTGCCGGTAGCGGCCCCAACAGCAAACCTGACACCATGGAGGCCAGGGGAGGTGCGTGGTAACCTGGTAGTGGCGCACCTGAGAATCTAAGCACTGTATACAATCTAAAGTAACTTTTCTGGTCTGACTCAACTGAGGCTGACTCTACTATTATATATTCCAAAAACGTCCTAGAAAAACCAATCAATCTATCCTCTTTACAGTATCCGTCAACTGAGTCTTGCCTCCGCTTTAGCCAGACTGTGTGCAACCAGCCTCCGCAGCTGCAAAGGTGTGAGATCCAAGAGTCCAACTAACCTGCTGCCTTGCCTCAGAAGCCACATCCGGGAGATGAGGTCCAGGTACACTGCTAGGATACAAAGTCTATGGAGTCTCAAGCTATATCTTGCTTCTTTCGGCCATTGACGCGTTGAAAAGAAAACCTTGGACCTGATTCCAAGCATCACGAAAGACTCTCGGAGCGGCCCTTGTCTCCCCCGACCTCCCTAGAGTGGCTTTGCATTCCAAGGCGCATAATGCATGGACGGCAAGCAGCAGGGCTTCAAAACAAACCCGACGCATTTGGGTCCACGATTGAAAGTTTCGATCGCACGAATGGAGAGGACACCTGCAGGAGCATGGAAGACTTGTGTTGTCACAGCATTTTCCACGGCAACTTTGCTTATGGCATCATCATCTTATGGTTTATGATCTTGACGACCTACGTAAGGGCTGAGAAGCTACCAGAAATCACCAGAACCTTCCCGGCAATAGTGGTCCTGTGATCCTCGTTATTCGTGAATGACGTTTCAAGACTGCATCCCGGCGCCGCCTTCAGAAGCAATGTCTCAAGTCGCAAGTGGGTAACTATAATGTTACTACAGCACGTTGAGACACATCGTCGTGAAAATTGATTGACGAAAGAGGAGGGAAAAGGAAAGGATCCATCTCTCACCATCCCAGGCACCACAAAGGTGGATCCCCAAGAGAAAGACCGGTCCAGGCGCTGGCTCCAGCAGTCCTTGGTGACCGACTCAAAAGGACAAAAAGAAATGCCTGCGCTGCGCAATGAAAAGGGAAAAAGGAAGGGCCCGGGCCAGTGCACCTTTTTGGCTCAAGCCGCCTGGACCCAAAGTCCATCAGCTCAAGGCCCTGTCCCAAAGTTCTGCTGTGGCCTCTCGCCATGAGTGGAACGTCCAACAAGAAGTTGTCACCTTGACTTGAGGTGGTTTCACCTGTTCTTTTGGTGAATCTGGGGCTTTGTATTCTACCAAGGTCCTTTGTCTCACCTTTGGATTCACTCTTGATTGGGCGTCCACTCTTTGGTCTGACGCCTGGCAGGCAAATGCATATGCAGATTCTCCATTCGGATTCCATGGCCTGTGATGCCTATGCTGTGCATAAACTTTCAGCATCTACTTTGATGAACATTTCTTGACGAAGCCAAACACGATTCTTGACTCAGTGCATGCCTTGTGCCTGCTAGTGGCCCCTCTCTTGTGCGGCAAACTCCCTGGAGGCTGCTGCTCTTGTTGTGTTTGTTTAAGTTGGGTTGCTCTGCGGAACATTGCAGAACCAATCTCTTGGGAGAGACCTTCGGCCCTGTTCTCAGCTTAATTCACACACTATGTGATATTGGCCGTGGGCGTGGGATGGCTGCTGATGACCATTTGAACCATTGAAAACCCAAAATCATCCAAATTCGATTGGGTCACTGGGTGCAGACTTAGGTGCAGCCAGGCATCTAGAAAGGATCTGTGCGTGAGTCGATGGCAATTTGAGATCACAGCGCCGTGTGACCAAGGGAATTGGCCAAGCCAGTTGGTAAATATGGTCCCAATTCCTTGGCTCTCAGTTGGGTAGATGTTGAGCCCTTTAGGGCGCCCTGATCATGCTCTGCATCCTCGATGATTTCCACAAGTGCTTGCTTGTTTTAGAGGCTGGCATCTTAAGTCTTGCGTCTCTCTGTCACACCTGTGGATGCCCATGGTTGTCTTTACTAAAGACTGAGGGCGTTACCTGATTCTTCAGAAAGCACTACACAACACATCATCCCTCCCAGTGCAGATTGGCAGTGGACAACCCCATTCTTTCTAGAGTAGTTCATGGTCTTTCTGGGGACCATGCCATGCACTTCCATTATTGTTGGCAGGAGAGTGGATATAGAGACTCCAGGGATCTCCAGGGTTGACCCACTGCCATTTACATGTCATGCAATCGAGGGACAAGCGAGTGCGACCCCTGCGGCCAGGGCTGTATTCCGATGGTTGGTTCTCGCCTGCCACAGGCCAGGGATGGGCTCAGGCTCAAGCTGCGCTGTGACGGCGCAAATCTCTCTCTCCCTCTCTCTCTCTGTCTGTCCGTTCGCCTTGCCTTTGAGTGGCCATGCCTGGTCCAAAAGTAAACACACCTCAAGGGCAGGCAATTCCATTTTGCATGCCACAACACAGCTTGATAATATATGATATTAATAATAGTTTATGGCAAGGAAATTGGATTTTGCAGCATCTCATTGAAGCCTGTGAGATGAGCTTGCGCACGTCCATGTACGACCTATGTGTGCCTTTCCTGCTAAGGTACGCAAGACTCACGATGTGTGGCACCAAAATTGAGAATTACCTGATCAGTTTGCTAAAATCTGCACGAACTGTATACGCAGCACCCACTGGAAGTTCCCAGATGTCCAATCTCAGCTCGAAGTGCTAGAGGGCCAGAGGGCTGACCAAGCCCAAAAGCAGTGTCTCAATCAACGAGGTCAAGGCGCATGAACACGCTCAGGTGGTAGAAGCTCCGAAAGGAACATGCCCAAGAAGCCCAAGCCTGAGCACAGGTCCTGAGAAGCAAAGGTCTTGTGCCCAAGCAAAACCTAAAATTGCTTGTGCCACAGGCTGCCATGTGGCCCAACAGTGGGGCACCACTTGAGTCTGACCTAAAGAACCTCGCGGGACGTTCACCCAGGTCAAGGAGCCTAGAGGAAAGCAACGCCGTCAAAAACTCGGACATCACTACACGCTACTCAATAGCTGAAACCACCTGTGACTCTTACAAGTAACTTGAGACACTTCGGCGATATCATAGGAAGACTCTTACAAGTAACTTGAGACACTTCGGCGATATCATAGGAAGATTCCTGTGAACAGGTTTGTAACCATTGTATACCTAGTTTGGATAATACAAGAGATTTGTGTAGTTCAACTCTTTTGTGACCTCGCCCAGCTGTGACTTGCTCAGATTCGACGATCGTGACTTGCCCATGTGCTTCACCCAACTCCTGAGCTTGGAGGTCCGGCTCGCAGCTTGTGATGGTACAAAGTGTGTTAGTTTAGTTGCAATTGTGGCAGTCAAGCAGCGCGGACGAAACTACTTTGACAGCAGCAACCTCCGACCACGGGGGGTCTACAAGCGCAGTCACACCTTCGAGAACACACATTAAGTGATTGCTTACGAAGTTGAGCTCTTCGAGCCTCAAATATAAATCAAGCCCTTTCGCTGTAGTACGCAGCCCAAGCTTCTCCCAAGTGCCGTATCACAAAGTCGATGACTGGGACGGCCTCCCGGGCCTCCTGGGGGCCAAGTGGGAAACGGGTGGAGATCTGTGGGGACGGGTGATTTCATACTTATGTTACATATATGTTCATTTGTGTTCATAGTCTTTGAGGCAAGCAGCTTGTGACCCCAACACTTCTGAAGTAAACGTCTTCCTGCCTTGATCAAGGTCGAGCATTTGTCACGAGCTCAGCGTGCCTGAGAAGTCTCAACATATGAGCATTTAAATTTACATATGAGCCACAAGCTATATAATACTATATATATATACACCATATGGTTCAAATCTCTGCTTGCCAGCATTCTCGACTGGAGGATCAAATCCTCTTGATGGATACGTCCCAAAGCCTGTGGTGCCCTTGCCTTCAATTATATAGTTGATTTTGTCGACTGAGGATTGAACATTGGATTGGAACTCTTCCAAGTCTTTACTGAGTACTGTATATTTTTTGATTTTTTGAAGGGGCATCCCATGCCTCATGCTGACATCCCATGTGTCGACCCTCTCCAAATGTCCCCAAGTGGGTCAAATGCATGGGGGCGCGGCTGTGCAAAATTGCTCCAAGTTGCCCACAAAGGCGGATCAAAGCGCTGGCGCCAGGAACATGCCACCTGTATGAAGCAAAACGAGGAGGTGAACAAGCACCCCTCAAGCTTAGTCTGGGAGGCGCATGGAGGAGCATCCAAGCAACACACTTGACCTCTAGACTCTAGTTAGTCTAGTGACAGTTGCGGAATCCCCCGCGTTTAGATGGTGTAGAGGCTGCTCATTTCGACTAAACCTCATTTCAACTTCTGTCTGAACCTAGTTCCAAATCCCCGAACTTTCCTATGCCCACCGGGCGACTCTACCCCTCAAGCACACGAAGCACCACCTCCGCGAGCCGTTGGCACAGGGATGGAAACCTTCGGACCGCACGCCACCGCACGCATTCAAAGCATTTCTCCAACCCAGTCCTACACAAGCCTTGCCTGTCCAGGCCTCTTGAGCCTCTTCACTGATCCTGAGGAATTGTGGTTTGGTCATTGGTGGTCTAGGCTTCCCGGCTGTTTGCCTAAGTCTCCTTCACTCAGCGCACACCGAAGCCAAACTGCGAAGTCCTGCCAAATTTAAGTGGAGCATTTGCCATGCCAATAGATTTGGAGGGTTGGCCTTCCTGTGAATTTGGCACTCTCTCACGCGTTTTGGCGGTTTGCTGTGTGTCCTCTTCATGGTCCAGCGACCTGGGCACTCCGAGTGCTTCCCGGTCACTCCCACCTCTTCGGCATTAAGTCCTCCACTTAAAGGCCGCCTACCTTGCACTTCCAAGCCGTGCTCTCTTTGAGGAGCCTTGTGTTGACAAACCTTGAACATCAATAGAAGCATTCAAACAATGCGGATGCCCAAAAGGTATGCAAAGTCTTGCCTGGACTGACCTGCGTGTGTGTGTGTGTGTGTGTGTGGACCATGATTGACTTGAATCACCATTGGAGGCTCGTAGAGGATAGCATAAATGCCACCAAACCAGTGCCAAATCTGCACTCAGGAACCTCAAGCCCAGGTGAGTTGTAGCCAAGCAACTGTTTCACAAGGTCAATACCTAGGCCGAAAAGGTAGTCGCGCTCCATGAGCGGCTGCCATGCCGAATCGATGACAAACTAAAACAAGGTTGCTGAGTTGATGATGATGCTCCGCAGTCAATCCACTGTTGCATGTATTTGCAACCTTCATATTGTAGTCTTGTGACTTGCACGAGAGAGGCAGTTTGCTAGCGATTGAGCCTTTTCAAATCTCAATCAACGATGCAATGCAATTCGCACAACGCTGCAACAGTGTGCAATAGCCAAAACATGCAGGTATCAGCTATAACAATTGATTACTAAAATATATACAGTACTATTCATTTGAGCACCTGCCGGTCACAGTCACAACCGAAAGAATTCTTTGGCAAAATGCACAGGACTGAATAGAACTTTCCTGGCTCTGCGTGACAAACAAACAACTTGTAACATGTTAGTCGGCATCCTGAGCAGCAAGGGACTCCTATTCTACCCACACTACAACTTTTTTTGTGCACGTACGCTTGCAGGAGTCCATCGATGGCATGCAACTCTTGCTCTGAATTATGAATCTGAATGAGCAAGCATACAAACATGATGGAAGCCTTGCCGACGCTTCAAAGAAACCCATCAGCGACTACTTATCGGTCATCACATGGGTCACAGTGCCCACCCATCCTACCCAAAGGAGTGAGGAGTGAAGCAGCGGGAGGATATTAGCGAACTCGGAATGTGTCACACCATGTCAGAATTTGGGTGGACAATAGGTTGTGGAGGAATGGATCCACATGCCAGACATACCGGGATTGGGATGGGGGTGCGTGCGGTAGTTGCCTGCTCATGTGAGGTTGGCGAACGCTCCGGAAAATCTAATCTAAGCCATGTCTAAGCTCTCAGCAAAGCTTCTGAAGCCTCGGTTTGTGGGAATCATGAATCATCAAGCAACTGGAACTGGCACCTACCCCAATTCCATGGCGCCTTACCTTGCCACTCTTGAACTTTCACCATCTGCACTGAAACAATCTACCCAAAGAAAAACATAGAAAATCCGCAATTGGGTCGATGCATAGCCAATAGCTCCGCACTGGTTGAAACAGCGCTCATGGTAACAAACGTGCCACATAATTGGACAAAGGCCCTCACTTTTGAAGGCACTTCATGGCCGTGGGCTCTGTGCTGGTCATCAAAGCCTCAGCCAAGGCATTGGAAACAGCCCCCAGCCCCGAGGTATTCTTTAACATTCTTTAACAATAAGTTTGTCATCGAACCCTTTCCCCCGCCCATCTGGCAAGAAAGCAACCACGAACCCGAATTCACACATGTATGCAAACACACACCGCCAAACGCTATTCAACACTCTTGGTCCACACTCTTCTGGGACACGTTTGAGCGGCACTTTTGTTTGACACTCTTGCGCTGCACTCATCTACAACAAGGTTCTTGTGCCATCTTGTGCCCACACATCTCTCTCCCTCCGCGCTCTCTCTCTCTCTCTCTCTCTCTCTTTGTGGGGGGCATGACTCGGCCCAGAGTCGTCTCACAGAGACGCCCGCACATGTGGGACACTCTTGTGGCACTCTTGCTGGACACTCTTGTGTAGGACACCTTCAGACTAAAGCATCCTCTTGTGGGACATTCGTGAGCCACACTATTGCTGGACACCCTTTTGTGCAACAATGTGCAACACTGTTCTGTTGCACCATTGGGGAGCAATCGTGGCACACTCTTTTTGGATGGAACGCTCTTGTGGGACACTTTTACAGGGCATTCTTGTGGGACACTCTTGCAGGGCACTGGGAAGTAGCAGGCTCCCTCCAAAAAAGTCACGCGTCAAGTCTGCAAAACGAGGGCGTTGGCGCTCCATTGATGCCAGCCACCCACGGGATCGAAGCATTACTTTGCAGACCTTGTTGGGCTGCACCTACGTGTTGGTGGGAGTGTAATCCATGGGAAAGATCTAAGCCTCGAAGTGGGTGCTTTTGCACAGGCATGCCAGAGTCCCAAGGTGTGAAAGGAAACGAGTTCGGGGATATTTTTGCACAGACTTCCTCTTCAAAACGAACATTTCCCACGAGACTTCCTCCAAAGTGATGTCAAGCCTTCAAAACGCACTCCGCACGAGACTTCTCGACAAGTGAAGCGGGAGGTTTCGTCAGAGCAAAAGCATCACGCGGCCCTGCCAAACAGTTCTGCAATCCAAGCCCCTCTAAAGAGCAGCCGCCGGCACGCCAATCCCAACGGCACAGTGACATTTGCCTGCACAGAGAATCGCAACGCACCTGCCACAACAATGTGGCTACGCCACACTTTGACATGTCTAGATTTTGCAGCACCGAAAAATTTCGACACATTGCTGCTTCACCCAGATCCCTCATCAAATTGTAACCTCAGCTGAGACTTGTCGCGAAAACGGAACTTCGAGGCAAGCGCTTCAAGAGCAAATCCCAACGGCATAGCAACGCCAACATCACGTTTCCACGCAATTTCACACCAATCGTATCGGACATGGTCCATCCATCCAAGACCTCTTCCACAAGCTTCCCCCAACGGCAGGACTTTATCACCCAAGACGGAGTCACACGCAGTCACGCAGAGCCTTTTCACGAAAAGCCCATACAAAAGAGGCGAACAAGGGTCTAGCCCCAAACCCTCAGACTATAAACCGGAACGCTTGGATACGCATTCGGGAAAAAGATGAAAAAGCATCACTGAGGCACACAAGGCTTCTGGGAGGGTGTCGCGTTAGAGTAGGGAAGAAGCAGAAGGAAATCCCCACACATCAATTTCAACCAGCCCAGTGCTTCTGAGTCACCCCCAAGGCCTGTTGGCCGCAAGGACCTTTTCCTTGTGTTACCTGAAAAGTGTCAGAATCTGTCAGAGATGAAGACAGTGATGAGATGCTGAGATGCGAATGTGAAGAGTCAAAAAGTCTCAAAGAGTAAGAGCCCCTTGTTACATCTTGTTAGCAGGCAGTGGAACGACGGATATGACTGCTTTGAATCATGGGTTGTGCCCAAATGCCTCCGCAAGCTTGCACAAAGCCTCAAGCGTAGGACGGCGAAGGTCAGCATGCCAGTGCTTAGCACACGTCACAAGCCTTGGCACGGGCACAGCAGCCGCGACTAAACCTCCCCTACATACCTACCTTATCCTAAAATCCCTGAATGAAGAGATTCTGAATCTCAAACTGGCAGGCCAACCCACGTCCTCTTGACGCAAGCTTCAAGCGTCCCAGCACTGCTGTCACTGCTTCCTGCCAACATGCAAGGTGACTCTGGTCGCACTCTAGCACTTTGCCAGGAAGTTTTGGGGGGAGGTTGCACCGACACCAAATACAATACGTTGGGGTGGAATAGGGTCAACTGAAGGTTGCTGCTACGTAGGGTATCCTAGAGAAACAAGTCACCAACAATGCACGGCATCTCCTGATCCCTTGGAGACATGCGGCAGGGCTCCGCCAGCAGCTCTTGGCCTCAGTTCAATTGGCACTTCTGTGAAAAGCGACGGTGGGAGCTGCCTCCTCAAGGGGCATTACAACGATTACAATTCTAATCGAAGTAATTACATGAGTTTTCAACATAGCGAAGCAATGTGAACATCAAAGAAAGTGAAGCAAAAGCAGTTGGCAGTAAGTTTATGGCGGAGCGGGAGGTAGGATTGAAAACCCCAACATATGCCAATCGAAACAGGATACTGTTGTGCAAGTGCAAGGGGGCCTTGCAAGGACATACAAGGTCCTACCCGAGACTTGGCGCCTGAGAAGATCTGCAGCATCTTTTCTGCAGCATGAGGTGTCGGACTGTAACATCGACACGGCTGCACCAGGGATGTCAGAAAGTTTGCCGTCATTTTGATGGCGGACATGGTATGGCAAGCCACGAATTTGAAACAAAGCAGCAGTGATTCAGGGTCCTTTGCAACAACCAAGGTTTCTTTCCGGAAACAAACTCTGCATGTAAATTGGGCACTCCTTTAGAACCCTGTAGAATCATTGGACATCCGTCAAGCTGCAATATTCACGTCTCAATTCAACAAAGTGTGTTGACGAATGTTCAATGCAAACACGTAGAATGTTCCCACTATTTGCAGCTCCAGCTAAAACAGCTAGCAGTTAACAGTTGCATGCATTGGTCCAACAAATGTTGTGCTGTGGGCACGGTCGACGAGTAGAATAAACAAATACCACCTAGGTGCTTTATAAACGATGCCAACAAAGGCACCGCCTGTATGTAATTAGCCTGGAAGATTGCAGCCATCTGAAAGTCCGAAGGAAATCAATCTCCATCTTTCACGAACAGTTGTGGTGAAGCTGCGGTGACTCTCGGAAAGCTGGACTGATTAATAAGTGATGCGGCCGGTTGCTGGTGAACCGTTGAAGCCATAATCAGAGTAGAGCGTTCCACTTTCTCAATTGGGTTGACATTCTCCTGGCCGTCTCGCAATGATCAACGGCGTCTCATTTCTTTTTCATGTTTCCTCAACACTCAACGTCACTATAATTTGTATATCGCAACACGTCAAATCGGGCTTGGAAGAAGCATGAATCACACTCTTTCAAAGGATTGCATAGAAGATCATAGAAGCTTGCCTGCTCATATAAGCCTTTAGAAACCACAAGCGGGCATGCCGAGCAAAGCTCGTGACCTGCACCACGGTCTCCAAGACGGTCTTGTCAAAGCAATGAGTAGCTGCAATGACAATATGCAGTGTGGCATGGCTCAAAGGAAGAGCTCCGGACCTCAAACAGAAACACTGAGCGACAAGCCCGCAACATGTCTGCGGACATGGGCTTGGTGACTTGATCATGCTTGACCTCCCCAAATGTGCAAATGCAGCTCCTACCTATATACTGTACTCGTCATGAACAAGCTCCGAGCTTTGTGATGGCATCCAGCAGGTCAAAGGCTGCATCCTGCACTTGCTAGCATATTTCGCTACTCCGAAGGCTGCCTACGAAGCCTACTGAAGATGAATGCTTCTGACCACGCCCAAGTCTAACAAAGGACTTTGCCAGACTGACTTGCCAAATCATTGCCAAGCCCGGCTCCCATGTCATAAGATCTGATGGATTGAAGAATTCGCAGTATCTAATAGATTATGGATCTTTGAAGATCATTGCTGTCCTTCTCCTGCTTTTGGTGGTCACTAGTCAGTTGCGCTTCTGTAGGCTCAGCCAACAGTGCCTTCTGCGAGCGCTTTTTCCACGTGTTTCCTCAAGACGCCGCCACGCGGAACACTTCTAAACTGAACACTTGGACATCTGAGACTGGGACAATGTTTCTGTATTCCACAGGGGTCTTCCGAAATACAGCAAGCAACGGCTTTCATCCATCTCATGGTTCAAAGTTGCTGTATTCAAGGAACTCTAGTCTAATAGTCTAATATATGATATGGTCATATGGTCTAATATTTAAGTGTCAACGCTGAGCAGCCAATATTGATGATGGTTGGCCGCAAAGAGCTGTCTGGATCAAGCTTTTCAAATTGGGCATCCATCTCTTGTGGCACCTGGTAGCTGTAGAATGCCAGCAAGTGGACTGTCACTGGCCTTGTGCATTTGGAGTCCATTTACACATGTGTCAAGGACAAACCGACTTTGGGGTTGTGCGTGTCGTTGCTGGTCTTACCGTGGGCTCATGGCAACGCGCTGACCAGTGTGGCGATGCGCGGTCTTCGCCTGTGTGTAGTCTCGCGACTCAGTTGCACTCCCACCGAAAGACCCGACCTGATGGGGTGGCACGAGAGAAAGCTGGCAGCGGAGACTGTGAGACATGCACTGTGCCTATGTGGGCCTCTGCCATCCTCGCCAAAAGCACTCGGAATTCCAGTCCGTGTGAGAGAAATACACCCCGCAATGCAGCATTTCACCTTGGCAACTTTTTCCCAACCGCGCCTGGCTCTGTTTCTCCTGCCCAGTGTTCAGCGTATCAAAAAAATTGCGTAGTGACAGCGTAGTGCTAAGTTCCATGCGCCCGATTTGGAATTGGACCAGCATGTTCGGTTGTTCTAGGAAGACCGCCTGCCTAGGCTAGCTTTGCAGCATTAGCCCAGTGCAGAAAAGGTACGGCATGGTGTAACCATAGAAAAAAAGCGTCTTACCCAGTGTCACACACAAATGTACTGTCATCCGTTCCACACATGTTACACCGCCGGACTGAAATATAGAATGCCTGCATGTACGCTCTATGGCTTAGAATGCCTACGCTGTTTTTAACACTTAGAATGCCCGCGTTTTGCAGGCATTCTAAGTATAGTCCCGTAATGGCACCCTTGCACCCAGAGCAGGGCATTCTATTTATAGTGTTCAATCCCGGTATTATGCAGTTAGAAGTTTCTGATTCTATGGATTCTATGGTTGTCAATGGTTCTAGCTAAGGTTCTTCCAAATCCTTTTAAAGAAGCCTGGGAGAACATGGGAAAAGAAACATATGCGTTTTGGAATGTTTTGGACATATATCAATTGCGCCAACGACCAAGCCCTACGAAAGAAAACTCATCTCCTGCTTTGTCACCTTGGCTGGTCTTTCTTCCGCTGTGGACTCCTTCGGGGGATTCCCCTTCCAAGGGCCTTCCGCACTTCCGTGAGTCCACTAAAAGGAAGCAACACCAAAAACACCAAGAACTTGATGAAATCTCAGCCAAGTAAAAGCTCCACAAATTACCACACCCTTGAAAACCATCACTCCTGAGGAGGAGCTGGAGGTTCTGCCGGTGCTTCTTGCGATTGTGGCAGCGTGGTTGAATGGCTCGAAGGCGGAGGTGCTGCCGCAGCTTGTGGTGCTGCTGCGGCTTGCGGTGCAGGTGCAGGTGGTGGGATGGGCGCAGATGGTGCGCCTGCTGGACTTGCCATTCGATCCATTCGCCTAGGCCCAGGTGGCCCAGGTCCAGTATGCTTGTCCGCTTGCGCTTGTTGGGGCAAAAACTCAATGCCAACAGTGTTCCGACACGTTCCAAATAGAGCTTGCTGGTTATCTATCACTATTAGTATATAGGATGGCCGGATGGCATCGGGAATCGTGGCATTTAAGAGTTGACCTCTTGCCTCCCATGAACCGCATCGGTATTGAAACTTGAGGCTCTTCAGGCCTTTCCGACACTAACGAAACACCCGGAACCACGCATCCTGGTTGCTGCTTGGCCTTGCGCAACCGCTGAGGGGGAGCTGCCGCAACCTCGCAACACATGTCCATCTCCATCTCAGGAATTTCCTGAGCCGGACTCATCCAATGAACAGTGCGCCGGACTCATCCACTTGCAAATGCTTCATGATGTTGTTCCCAAGCACGGTGTGGTCATAAAATAAATCCGTGAAAGACTCCAAACCATTAGGCTGTGAGTCTGAACTCCCGCTGCGGCTGCCACCGAGCAAGTCATTAAGGTCAACCAATGGCGCTGAATATTGTGCCTGCTTCCGACTCTCTTCGAGCTCTTCCTGCTTCTCCTGGAGCACGAAATGTTCACAACCACCGTTTGGACGAACCTCTGTTGAACTGAAGACGGCACCAAAAACTGTCAGAAGAAAAGGGGTGTCATCCCATCACCGTGGGTCGAATGTCTTGAAAGTTGGCTTACAACTACCTCTCTGGGTGAGGCTCATGTCCCTGGCATGTCCTGGTTGATCATATCAAACATGGCTTTGACCTGAGTGCTGGAGCTGGATCCATGGGAACCATGATTCGGTAGCTGGCTGAACACTTGCTTAAACAGGACAGGAGTGAACAACATGTCCCTCCCCCCCGAGCATTTTTGGCACGGGAGGAGACCAACAGTATCCAAAAATCACGGCAAACGACATCTGATTGGAGATGACGTGCTCATCTTCTGCCAGGTCACATGACCCCGCACAGCGCCTAGTCTTGCAGGAGCTGCGGTCACTGTCTCAGAGACACCCTCCTCTTCGCTGAAGGAGAGCAAATCGCTCGGGATCTGATACTTCCTCAGGTCAGTGACGCAGCAACGGGTGGGTTACAATGGCTTGCCTCTTTATACCTTGGGGTCCAACATGTCAGGCCGCTGACCTACAAAGCGTTTCAGGTGCTCGGTGCTGGGGCGCGCTGGATTTAACTTGCAACCCATATTAACAGTAAGTGCACACAACCAGCTCAACCCAATTGCAGCTGAGCTGCAAGAATAGCTCCATCAAATCCTGCGTGAGCTTGATCTCCTGTGGTGTTTAATGGCTGAGATCGCTGTGGGTTGTGGGCCCTGCCCGGGTACTCTTCCCCTCCATTTCAACTTGGGACACCTCGCCATGTAATTGGTACAGTCTTGCACACTCATTGCATGTGTCTGAATGTCTCACAAGGCATTCTACAAGGCAAGCTCAGTGCAGAAACTGACATAGCAGGTGAAAAAAGCTCCTAACAGTCTTGGGCGTTGACAAGACCATCGATAGTGCCACAAAAGATTACAATCAAGTATATAATCTGCTTGCACCAGCCCCCGAAGAGGTAAACGAGGTAGGCAACTGTAACTAAAGGCCCCTACTACTCTGTAAGATGTGTAATTATTGCACGTTGTGGCACATAGGCAGCTCCTTGGTGAGGCTATCATCTGGCAAATTCAGTAGTTTCTCCAGCTGTGGCTTGATCTGAACCACCAAAACTCCGAAGAGTGTGCTCTCCTGCGCAACGCTACGACATGCGATGACACCTCTTGCTGTATATCGTTCCCAATCAGCAGGGAAACCGGGAACCGTGACTCCAAAACATCACCATACAGTAGATAGAAGGCAAATAATGGCAGTGTGTCAACCTCTGAACCCCCTAAAGATCCCTAGGATCATAACAAATGGAGGCACACTTCGCACACTGGAACGGCACATACATACAGCATTCATTCAAAAGCATGGACTGATGCTGAGCTTCGTGCTCCTGCTCAACAGGAAGACACAAGTGTCAAATCTCTCAGTTCGGCATTTTGACTTTAGGTTCTGAAGGCAGGACAATAATCCACCAATAGCAGTGTCAGAACAGTCGGGTAGGCCACGGCCCTTTACCTCCGCCGAGCGTCTAGCTGCATGGCACGGAAGGCTTTAGCAAACTGTTGTTGTTCTGGGGAGAGTGAAGCAATAGCATCCTTGAACTCCTCAGCAAGCAGGAGCTTTCGCGGGCTGAGCCGATTGGAGAAGTAACTATCAGCGGGCATGGGCTGAAATTTGAGGATCTGTCAACCGGAATGAGCCTTCTAGATGGGCCTTCGGACAGTTTTCGAGGTCCACAGTTGAGACATATGGAGACACATTGCATGACATTTGGCAAGGAATGCCCGCCTTGGGCGTAGGGATCACTGACATCTCCAGTGGGATCGTCAATTCATCCTGCGTGCTCGCAGGTGTGTCTGTGTATGTGATCGCAATTGCCATTCTGCCTATGCTTACTTCTTCTAGGTCATCTTGACTGCAAATGCCTTGCCCAGTACAGCTTCTCCCGGGCACCTTGTATCTCAAGACACTCTTTCACTGCTATACTGTGGCTATACTGCTCCTCTCCGTGAGCCCTTGAACCCTGCTGAATCATGCTGGGTCCCGCCGATCCTTGTTCTGGATGATTGCCGCATATGTAGGGTCGAACGATGTTGCGGAAGTGACACGCCCCACAAGCACCAGCATGGAACTGAATTGCCTCGGGCAGCATCAGGCTGTCAAAAGAAAGCACCGGGCTCAGCTGGCGCAATTGACAAAACAGGAATCATACAGAAGCTCATCTTGTGCTCGGAGTTTTCCGTCCCTCGTGCCTTGCTCTAGCCTTCAAGAAGAGCCCAGACCCAGTCTGTCCAGAAAAGCTATGGCAAAGCCAGCCATGCAAGTGCACGGGTCCCGTGAAAGATACAGTCGTCGAAGCACTCAATGGGAAGGACATTGCCTCAGCACACCGTCGTGTCTCTTCAATCGTGACATTTTGCTGCACATGCACAGAACATCATGCTCTAATCCACCCACCCGCCCCGAACTCTTGGCCCTCCAGCACGGGCCCAAAACACAAACTCGTCCAGCGCCCAGCGGCTGTGGGCGTGCTCCCGTGGTTTTCCAACGTGACGATCGGAGTATGCATGAGACTCCCAGCGTCGCCAAAGGTCTCCTCCTCGATGCTCACGGTTCCCTCTGGCCCATGCTGCTCGGAGCGGCGGACGGCGAAGCAGAATTGGCTGGGCCTGACTGGCCAAATGGTGAGTTCTGGAGATTCTAGAGGCACCAGGTTTAACCGTTGCTGGATCATTTTTGATACATGACTCACTCACATGGAAGTGGAATGGTCCCTTGGGAGACTACTTTCCTCTACGAACAGGAGATTTTCCACGTCCATGTTTGTGAGAATGTTTGGCATGTTCTGGGATTGGAGGCAACCTAGCAAACAGGGGTGGACCTACAAGGATCTACAAGGATTACAATTTGTCAGGCTCAGTCAGGCCACTGGTAGGCATCGAGGAAGAGCTTTCGGTAGTGGAAGCGCATGTAAGACCTTTGGCAACACCAAGCCAAAACGGAATAGCTTTCAGGTTTCTCAAGAAACATCCTTGCTGGTTCATATGCCACAAAACTGTCAAGTCACCCAAATTCGGACGGGGACACTTCCTTTCCGATGGCGGCCACCAATTGCTTTCGGAGCATAGATTCCACATAGTCGACGGCTTGCACCCACTGATGTGCCAGTGTGTTCATGTGCATCAGGGTCAATGATATGCACCCTTCCACTGCAGTGAGGATTCCAGTGTCTCCAGGAAACGAGTTCCGAACATTCTCGTGCTGCTCCTGAGGCTCGCTCAACGACGAAGTGAAAGATTCCGCAGGAGGCGGGTGAAGGGGGACGTGTGACTCGTATGACCGTATGACCCTGTTTCTCACCTATGGTGACTTGCTTGTCGGAGCATGTGGAGGTCTGGACTCATGAATCTGCGCCCTTCGTCGTGGCGCCTTCAAGCTTCTCAGCTGTTCCACCAGCAGGAGATTTCCAGCGGAGGCTGACATCACCAAGGACGGCGGGGCTTCAGCATCACCCTTGGGCAGAGCAGACATCAACGTGTCCTTGGTCAACGCTTGAATGCCCAAGCCGCCACACATGGTCCCACAATTCCTAGCAACATTGGTATATCGGTCCGGTCCTACGCAGGGGACCCACCCTGAAGACATGAGGCTATTGAATGGTCCACTTCGCCAATGCCTTCTTTGAACATAATGGGCACCACTGGGATGAAAACATGGTCCAAAGATAGTGCACTATCATCCATCTTGCGAGGCTGGACCGTTCGCAGGTGATTGATGTAGTCTGCCACATACATGGTCCAATTTGACAAAGCCATGAAGTATTGGTAGGCCTTGTCGAAGTCCTGCCACCGAAAAAGCACAAAGCTGCTGCAAAAAGTGAATCTGCTGAATTTAGATAGCATTGCAGGTCAAACGTATATAATACAAGGCTTTGGCTGTTGAGGCTGCTGTTGACAGAACACTTTGCATACTACCAGTTGCTAGACGCACTCCCAGCCCCATGCTGCAGTATCGCCTGGTTTCGGCGCGGTGTCTTGCAGCTCTTGATGGTGCGATCGATTGAAAAGCCCGGCACTGCCGGGTCAGAGAGAATTCGCAGAAGCCAGCTAATGTTCACCTGTGCGCGCGTGGCGTGGTAAGAGATGTCACATCCCTTGGACCAAGCTGCAAGCTAAGCATGCTTTGACAAAATCTGCGGGACGGAACGTGGACCATTTTCAACATTAAGACGCAGGCATGTCCTGGGCATGTCTTCCCGATACACATCCGCCGACCACCCCATCAACCCACCACACAACCATCTACCTCCCTCACCCTGTACCACAGCTCCGATGGAGATCCTCCGCCACAAAACACTTTTATCAGCACATGGATCCAAAAATGAACTAGATGAAACTAGCACTGGGCCTTCCCCTGGGCGCTCACTTGCAGCTCCATGTGACTTCATGCAGCTTCCACATCGTTTCTCGCCCCACAAGGCGCCTCTTTGTTCACTGCAGGCGAGCGAACCTCTGGATGCGGCGCCGGCGTCTTGGCGCTGGTCTTGAGTTCCACCTGCGTCCCGGAAGTGCGTTTCACCCGTTTGAGCGATATGGCCATTTCCGGCACAAGAATCAACAACAATGCATCAACAGATGTGAACATACCTGAGAAAGAAGGGGACGAAAGCCAGCGAGAGACCAATATGGTAGTGCAAAACTGGGAGGAAAAAACTGCGGAGCATTTATTGTTGAATGCCTGTAGTTTTCGTGGAGCTTGTATCAACGAGAGTAGATCAAGATCGGAGCACAGCATGAAGTGTTGAATGTTTTAGGTTCTCTCGATTTTCCTGGCGCGGTGCTCTCTGGAGCGTCCGTGTTTGGTGGTCTATTTGAGAATCCGTGTTTAAAAACAACGTCAGTGAAGACCAGGAGAAGGATGCCCAAAAGGTGGTTTTTGGTTGTTTTCAAATGTGTTTCGGACATCGTGCATCAATGCGAAGCCCTATAAAAAGCAGGGCTGGGAGAAAAAAAAGAGGAGAGCACTCATTCTTGAATGGTTGTAGTTTTCGTGGAGCTGGTATCACTGCGACTGAGATCAAGATCGGAGCACAGCATGAAGTGTTGAACGCTTCCAGCTTTCTTGCTTCTCCTCTTGCGGCGGCTGTTATCCCCAAGCCTCTACCTTGCCCAACTGGACATACTCACATCGTTCGCTCCCAGAGCGTTCACTCTTTGTTGCTTGGTCCTTCTTGGTGCGATCAGAGCTACACAGTCCCTATGCCCTGCTCAGGACTGGAAAAATTGTCTCCAGACCCCTTCATGATGCACTACTCGACGTCCATTGCATCACTCGCATCACCAGACCCTATTCCCTCGCTTTGGAGCGCTCTCCCCCAGCAAGTTCCGGGTTCACCCTCTCAAAAGGTGCCTTTTCGTACCCTCCCCCCCCCACACCCCCTTAACTCACTTCGTTCGCTCCAAGAGCTCAAGCCTAGCCTATCTATCGGCTGGCTTTCGTAACATATATATATATATATTTATATTTATATGTGTTTATTGTTTTATTATGTTTTATTTATTTATAGCATATTGCATCATATTTGTACAAAAAACATGCCAAAAACTGCCACCATCAAAATCAACCTCACCCCAGGAATAAACCGGCAACTCATTCTCCATAAAAGTTGCACAATGCTTCTTCTCCTATGAGACTTGAGGACCAATCTGAATATGAAGAAATTCCTTGAAACGCTACTAGGGGCTTCTGGCCCTACCACTAGGAACAAGAAGCTACTAGGGGCTCCTGGCATCGCTACTAGGAGCAGGACGTTACTAGGGGCTCCAGATGTTCCGGTCGCATCGAGTCCTCGGCCTGGCCCTGGCGGCTCCAAAGCACCATGCGGTCCGAGGCGTCTGCGCCGACCCCTCGAAACCTGCGCACCAGCTTTGACCCAAATCGGTTTCATGTAGTTTCAATTATATAGCAATTTAAAAAACAAGCATATTAAACGCCCCCTCCGCGTTTGGATTGTGTAAAACCTCTTCATGTGGAATTTTGTAGTCATCAAGAATCTTCATCATGGACGTGATGAGAGGGGAGGTTGGTTACCCCACCATACAAACATGAATGCGTAGGCTGTACAGCCTGCAAAGCATTTTCAGATCAAGCCAGGAAAGTCGATGCATGAGATTCAGGCTGAGGCACGCTTCTAGAACACAGTTGGTCTCAAAGTTCCAGAAGTACTCGGTGATCTTAGTGACCACCTAGGCAAGTCCAAAATGGTGGAGTGACAAAGGCTGATTGTAAAATGATCTATCTTTCAGCCATTCTGCTGGAGAATCTCCCGACCAGCGTCTATAACTTTGCAAATTCAGTTCCTTCATGTTCCTTCTACTTCCATGGTGATTCCACCATTGTCATCAATGTTATAAATTCTATTCGGCTACTATGCGTGCTGACGTCAATACCAAAAGTGAAACCTCCAGTCACACTCCACCCTGCCTTACTTGTAATGGCACTTCGCAAGACTCCACCCACAGACACTTCCTCGACATGCTTCCTGGAACCAGCAGGCCGAGCGGAGTTGAGCAAACTTTGTGGAATTTCCAAGGTTGCTGTAATACTGGAGGGATCTGGAGGAATTTTCTCAGCAGCATCTCTTGCAAAGGGCAACGGATCTTCCGTCTGACAAGCTCCTGGGACCTGAGATGGGCTCAGCCTAACTCCCGAAGACTCCCGATGGACGGAGAAAGCGGTCCTCGGATCCTCTTCTTCCCGGGTCTCTTCGCGAAGATAGCTACAGGACTCTTTCGACTTGAAACGCAATGAGACCTCCTGTCCTGCAGCAGGGCGGGAGCAAAGACAGCTTTGGGCAGGTCGATCAAAGTGAGGTGAAGGCGGTGACGGTGGTGAGTACGGGAAGCTGTGAGCTTTTAAATTTTAAGCTGTTGTGAAAACAGTCTTGCTGGGGACAACTAATTAAGAGCCTCAGCCTCCAACGCTTCGTTCGCAACCACTCCTGAGGCCCACTGCTTCAAGGTCGCCAGCTGCTCTGGGCCTACACCCAACAGCCCTAAGCAGTTCAGCTCGGCAGCCGCGGCCAAATTCGTCGCCCGCTCCACCAGCAAGTACTTGTCCTCTTGTGCATTGTGTGCCCAGAATCGATAAATATTACGAACTCATTTCTTTGCGGAATCGGGGGTCCAACAATGTGAGTGGTCAACAGTCATGAATTTGTGACGGCTTTTTTTCACGAAAATTCATAGCAGGGGAAGCTCACTCTGGCTCCGCGCGCAGCTTTCAAAACGGCTGCCCAGAAACAAACAGCGCCAGCGAGACCTTCAAACAAAGAGTAAGGCCTGTCTGCTAAAGGATGTAGTTCATCACGATGCTCAACACAGAAAACGGCAAAGTGCTTGGCGCGGTTCAGCCAAAGTTCCCCCTGAAGGCTGAGCATGGCCAAGCCATTCCCAGGTGCCCCATGACAAAGACCAAGGCCTTTCTTCAGCAAACCACGGCGCCAAATCACTTCACCAAACTGCTGAGCCAACTCCTGGTATCGGACGGCAGATTTCGGATGGTGCTCGGCCAGGCGCAGGGCCAAGGAGATCATGCCCGTAGCCCCATGACAGAACTGGACTAGCCGGTCTTTGCCATTGCCCAGTGATGAAGGCATGTTGCCTTACATGCTAAGTCGATCATCTTCAAGATTGCCAAAACATGCCAAAACTAAGTAAACTAGTAAACGTTGTCACACCACAGTTCCGAAGTCCATTCTCAGCGATTGAGGTACTATGTCCAATCAAGTTGCTACAGGCTACTAACCCACAACTGCTGCCACAACTTCACATATGAAAAAATTGTCAAACAATATACAGTATTCAAAGTACGTACTTCCTCTGATGCAAGACAAGCTACCACTTCGGAAGCAGCACTCGAACAACTTCTCAGCCGTTTTCTGCAGCAAGTCAGGGGCATCCGGCCTTGCCAGGGCCACTTCAGCAGGCAACTGCAACAAGGTTTGGAGGATTCCAGCAATGCCATGGGCACCGCTAGGTAGCACTTCTCGTGCCATTCGTAGTACAATGGCCATCCACCTTTCGCGTGCGTCTGCCCAGATTCCAGCACCTGCTGCACCAATTCAGCTGCAGGCGCTGCCAGCAGCTTGGGATCTCCCAATTTTTGGCGCACCAGCAGTACAGCCCCTAGAAATCCAGACCGGCCGTACAAGACCTGCATGCTGAAAACAAGGCTGTTCAACTGTTCAATGCTCAACTTGAGCGGTCAGTGCCTTACCGCCTTACCTCACTCAAACCTCCGAACATTCTCGCCTCCCACCTCACACTCAGTCTCTGGAAGCAGGGCAGCGCGCTCTGCTAAGGTTGCCAAGCGCTGGATGCACTCTTGCACTTGAACAGGTTGCTCCAAAAGGTGGTAGGCCCAAGCCTTCCTGGCAGAGGTAGCGAACAAGGGGAGGGAATGACTACGTCGATTACGTTACCATGAAACAACAGTTCTGTTTGACTAGTTTTTGACGCCGGCGGAGCCAGGAAGGTAGTAGCAATGTACTATGAACCAATACTGAATCACGCTAGGTGGTGTTGTTATGTTGTTTCATAACTAACCACATTCAGAAGAAACGAAAACCTTGACAATATTGGAAGTCTCGGCCTGGTCTGTTTTTCACCTGAGATCCTCCCAATGTCCCCTAATTTGCTACATGATAAGCATGCTTCCGGGCTTCAAAGCCACGCAGCCTGCAGGGCCTTCCAACAAGGTCACCCTCCGAGCGTCGCACATGGCTTCCGCCTCTTCCAAGCGCCGCAGGGCCTCCTCGCTCGCCGCCCGAGCGTCGCTCTCGAGGCCGCTGCTGGCGAGGTCCAGTAGCAGGTAGGCCACCCCCGCGGCACCGGTGTAAAGACTACCTCGGATAACGGTGGATGGACTGAAAATGAGAATGCTTGGAGATGCTTCGTTACATTGTCAAGCACTAATTGGAAGACTTCATGGGGGAGAACAAGGGCTTGCCATGGGCATCTTCCGAAAACTGGACATGATGTCCTCTCATCAACTGCCACACCTACCCCCCCCAGGGCGTGAAAGCTAGAACTACAAAAGGCCTTGTTCTTGGAACCAGCCACCCTTGGAGTGTCTGGCTTCTAGTAGCTTCTTCTTCGCCTGGGAAATCTCCCGCAAGAGCTTGGTCTCCCACTCCGCTGGTGCGACAGCATCATCCATGGCATGCCGGAAATGGCGTCCATCTTCGACATCCATGGCTCGCACAAACACACTGCTGTACACCCAGGTGGTCCAAGAAAACACTCTTGGTCGTTTAGGGAACAAGTTCCCGCATGTCCTCAACAAGTCTCAGGTGGTGCGAGAAACAAGCAGCAAAGGCCCATGCTAGTTCCTTTATTTTAGATAGTGGGCTTGCACTCACAAGTCCCCCCGATGAGTTTCAGTAGACCAGCCTTACATGGTGGGCGGATGCAGCTTGGCTCGTCATCTACTACTTCTGAGTTAAGAACCGACGAGCCTTCAAAGAAGAATAGCACTGATCCGTGCTAAAGAAGTACAATGGATGTATACGTGGTCTGAAACCTTCCAAACTGCAGAGCTGCTTCACATGCTGTCTTGACGTCAAATTGACATTTTCGCAAAACATTCCCATCCTCGTACTGGTGATGCACATCACCTGCCAAAAGTCGGGAAAGCCCGTCGGCACAATTACTTGGTCCACATCACTCTTGCATTGGCAAGTGGTATGGCTTCAGTATGCCAATTTGCTCCCCAAAAGGGCAAGTATAGAGTTTTGCAATATCTTTGGAACATGTTTCCTATAGGACTTTTTGCATTGTCCCTGTGACCTTTGTCGTGGCATTTCGCCTTTCATCCCACGTCGCCTGCGATCTGCGGTGACTTTTCGGCGCCCAGGATCTGCTTGACCTTCCTCAGCTTCGCCCCAGACCAGCAGTGCCCTAGTTGTTCCTTGGGGTATCGGTATGACCTTCAGATCCATGGGTCAGCCATGAATCCAAAAGGGTGGATAATTATATAGATGGTCAAACATGCATCCTCATATTATCTGCAGTTCGCCTTTCAGGTCATGTGAACCTAGGCTCAAGTAACATCAAGTAACCTCCCCCTATTAATCAAGCCTAGCTCGAGCCCCGAAAACTAAACTAATTTAAAACTGAATTCCACATGTCCATCACCCTTATAGTTGTTTCTTGGCAGAAACCTCCCCCTATTAATCAAGCCCATCTGCCCCTGGAAAAAACAAAGTATATAATTCATTGTATACAATTCATTAGTATATTGTTTAAAGCTGCCATCTAAGCTGCCAATGTTCTCCCCAGCAATCTTTGTCCACTATCCCTAAGAACCTCTCTAGCAAAATTCTGCCATGTTCCCTCGGTAAACTCTATCAAAATCTTAACGTTTTCTAGCTCACAAAGGGTACCCCTCTCACAGGCCTCAGCGTTCACACAGAATCCTATCAACCATCATCCATCATCAGGTCATCACCTTTATTAGCAGGATGTGGTCTCCAATTCCTCCAATCTCAAACCTTGTTGACACCTTGAATTGAAGGGCGGGTTGATTAATCCTACGTCGGCATTAACAACAAGTGGCGTGTACAGAGTACATGCATATACAAATGACCACAGATTAAAGACAGGATGCCCCGAAGAAGACCGAGAAAAGGGAAAGTCATCTATGTGGGACTTGCGGCTTGCGTGTTTTTTGAACCACGCTCACCGGTGTCATCAGGGGAAGCTGTCCAAGTCTCTCAAGAGCATTGTCGATTTTCGCCTCGATGCTTTGGCGCTGCAATTGCAAAGCCATGGCGACAGAATCTGGAATTGCTGAATTGGAGTTGAAGTCCTGAGGGGCCCTGAGGAGAGCTAAGTGAGAACAATCTCTCTGCTGAAAGTGGCTGGAGCCAGACCGGCCAAAGCACAACAGTAGAAATCGGAGTTGCGCAACCGCTGAGAGGCCACCAAGGGAGCCAAAGCCAGGCTACAGATTATGGATGCACCTTACATCGCTTGGCGGATTCTTTTCAGCATTGACACTGACCGGCCTTTGAAGCGAGTTCTCCAGGATGCTTGCAAGCCTTGCTCACTGAGCTCTGAAAGCATTGCGGCCGTTTCCAAACGCCTCAGGAATCAGCGCCTTTGTTGGAGTTCAGAACTAGAAATCTTCAGTGCCAAATGAGGTTGATCAATCCATCCGTATCGGCACAGTCTGTACATGAGTCTCAAGTCACAGAAGGCTACAAAATAAAAGGTCTCCATCTCCATCCGAGCCGTTTGCAATGCACTCTGGGAACCTTTGAAAAGTGCTCTCATCACGTCTCATCGAAATTTCTTACCCCACATGCCACACAAATGTTTGCGCCTGCCACCTGTGGCATAAGCTTTCACGGCGATGCTCTTGGTGACAGTGTCCTGCTGCTGGCTCTTCTCATACCTGTCAGTGGAGGTGTGGCATCCAAACCATTTTTCTGCGCATGTTCATCATGTGCTCTCATGAAGGCCCTGATCGAATGCAGAACTTCTCTGCTTCATCCAAGCTTCAAAGAGATTGCAAACTGCCACTTGCCCCGGTCATCACAAGCGCACATCACTGCATTGTAGGTGATCAAGTTTGCAACCTGCGAACATGCAACGACTGGCACTGGGCAAGCCAAGGGCAAGCCAAAGCTGTAATAAGGTTAATAAAGGCTTGTTTGGTGGATAATTTGCGTGCTGCAACCTTGGCTCTCCAACTCATATCAAGAAGCACAGCGGCACAGTGGGTATCAGAGGGCCAAGCCGGACCAAGTAGAGTTCCTACTCACATTAATTCTCATCCGATGCTTCAACATCTCTATCAATCCTGTATATAGTAAATAACGCACAAAATGACTGTTGCACCGTGCACCTGATCCCGCTCAAAAGGAAGCCGCTTTCCATTAATTAAGTCCCCTTCCTTCACTTCAACCGTGCAGTCATGCATCACCTCGTCAATTCTGACCTTCGGTCAAGCAGCATGGCCATTGTTGCAAAGCTCCCGCAAAAAGTTTAAGGACCATTGCCAGCGTCCAGCCACATGGCATGCACCAATCGCAACACCTGTGACTGCACAAGTGTCCTGTTGTAATAAATGCACATAGAGTTTGACAGACTCCCCCCGCACGGATTAATCTGCGTGTTTATCTGTTCAATGTCCACTGCCTCCCAGTTGGCATCTGGTTGCATAAAAGTTGGCAATGCTTCGTATGACAAAGCTAGACAGAACATGACAGGAACTCTGAGCATAGAGTTTAACTGCTTCAAAAAAATCAGGATCCATAGCTACATTGGCTGAAAATCTTAGGCTATGCGGCATGGCCCAAAGATATCCAAACTTTGCTCAGACCAACGTATCATCAAACACCCCATTGCTTTGCCGAGTAGCTGTAAGTGATGACATTCAATGCCAGATTTAATGCTCGCAGTTCCGCTAGTAAGGCTAAGGCCTTCAAAGTGCAGACAAGCAATGGGAACAAAACCAAAACATCAATTTAGGGAACTTAGCACGCACGACCCTGGGCCTTTCTGTCTGCAAAAGGAGTTCTGTCGACTCGCGATGGCCTTTCATGGACTATGTCCGCCCAGGCCACCCCAGCCTCCTGCCAATGCTCGCCCCTATGCCAGGCACTCATGGCAATGTTGTAACTAATGAGGCCATCATGACCTTGTCTTGGAGAGAAGCTGGTTTCCAGAACATGCAAGTGAGCGCACCCGTGTTAACAAATGCCCATGTTCTCTGTTGGGCCAGGCACAATTGCCGGCTCCTTATGATCTCGCAAAACCAGTAGCTCACGCAGCAACATCAAAAGCAAGATGAACGCAAGTCTCGCAAATCTGAATGATGTCTGTCTATGTTGCATGTCTGTCAAACTTCAGCACCCCAGCAGCAGATTGTCAAAAAGTAATTCGACCTGTATATCTGGCCAGAACCAGCAGGTAGCCAACACCAGTCGAGTTACATTGATCAAAGAGGTGCACCGCCAGTACCCATTGACTTCCCTTTTCGCAAGCACTGGCAGCCTAGGCAGCGCGTTATGCTGACACAAGTTTGTAAGCCATCTTTGTGAGCTTCAGCGGCTACTGGAGGCTTGCTGGCCTTTTCGTGAGCTTCATACTCTAATGCCCCCAGTTTTCTTCCCCAAATGAAGAGCCGAGCCAAGCCTGACTGCATAGCAAATCAAAAAACAGCAAACCGCAGCAACCTTGTGCCCTCTCATCTTGCCTTATCCAAGCAACAGCATTGAAGGCTCCAGCCTGTGGGGCTGCGGTCAACAGCTCCATGGCGTAGGGCCACGGAGCACCACGGCAGGCCGAGATAGTTGCGCAGTAGGAGACGATGTCGGCTTCCAAGCGCCTCATATGGCTGACCCATGACACCATGTGAAGTAGTGCTCCAAGGTAGACATGGAGGCAGTGTTGCAGTCAACTCCCATTTTGGCCAAGGTACTCCAGGAAAAGGGTCTGCAACAAGCTAAGTGCTTCTTGCCACCGACTGCCTGACCGAGTGCATCCGAGTGGGAGCTTTCCCCACAGAAACACCACACCATGGCGACCCACAGGCCTTTCTCACAGGCACTGATGGTTGCATTGTAGGCGACAAGGTCCAGTTTCAAGTTTCCATGGATGTCTTCAAAGATCAACAAGGCACGCTGCCACTCCTGGTGAATTTGCACAATTCATCTGCTTGCACTGCAGCACCAGGAGGGAAACAAACAGTAACGTACCCCACCCCACACACACACACATCACAAATGTTCCACTTACAATGAGTGCCGGACTCCCTAACTCTTTAAAGGGGAAGCAACTCTAGGTGTTTCTCTGCCCCGTACCCACCCGCCTCACATTTTTCACACGCACTCAGAACTGCGCTGAAAAAGATCACGTCCAGCTGCAATTGCGCTGCCGTCGCTTCTTCCAAAAGCTGGAGGGCCTGCTGGGCTTGGCTAGAGTGCTGGTTGAGTATGGCCTCCAACCTACTAGCGGACTAGCGATGGCCTCCAACCTACTAGCGATGGCCTCCAACCTGATAGCACTGAATGAAGGCTAAGAATGAAACCCCTCAATCCTATCAGAATCACGTCTTGATTTCCAGCTCGATGGGCGGTGTTGCTGCCTACCAAACAATTGGACCAAGAATGCAAATGCATAATTAGCTGCAAATGCTGGAGATGCTCATCACTTCCACCACAATAGTAATAGGCTGCACCAGACCCTCGCACCTGCACCCACTGCTGGCCCTTCTCTGTCGCACTTGCAACAGCGCTGTAGCCCACCAGTGAGGCCAGCCGCAAAGACTTGGCCACTGAAAGGAGCTCCAAGGCCTTCGAAAAACTTCTGACCCTCCATGGGTCCATGAATGCCGTGTCAAAAATCCATGCCTGACCATTCATGCACATTCAGCATAAACAAACCCGTTCAAAACCTTCTAGCGGCTCATCTTGTTGGCCTGCGCATTCGGGCCCGCCCTACGGCACCACCAAGGCTGTGGCGATGAAGCTTCCACCGACCGACTGCTAAACAGTTCTGCCGAGGGTCCCACTGCCATTCCCCAGCTTTTTCACAAGCACTGATGGCTGCATTGAAGCTGATCTCATCAGGAAAAGCCTCAGCAACTCAACGGGGTGCCATTTCTATGCCAACGTATATATGTGCCCTCACTTTCCAAGTCGTCAAGAACGAAACAAACCAACCTGGGGATAGTCCATCGACCAGGAAACTTCGCTGTCGGTCACCAGAAGAGAAGCGGCCCTCTGCCATCCATCAATTGCAGCCTGACAGCAGCTGATTGCCGTGTTGTAGATGATCCTTGGGACGGGGCTAGACTTTGGTGGCACTGGCTTTTTGGAGGGTTCGCTCATGGCTGGGTGTTGAATCTAATTGAGAAATGTCAGCACTGAGTGTTGGCAAAGATGTACAAAAACGACACCGCGGAATCAGATGTTCGCACAATTGTTGGAGGGGTGCTACAATTCTGACTTTGACAGTCAACCAATGTCAACAAGTCACCTCCTTTCCAAACTCATGCAAAGCAAGGGCCTTCTGTTGCCCCAGCAGCCTCTCACCCTTTTTGACACGAGATGCCATCAGGACTCAGGACAATGAGTGCAATACATCCTGGAAGGGTCGGAGGTTCCCATCCTTTTTGGGATCGATGATGGCGAAAACGACGCTTTCCCAAATTCCACGGAAGCGCTCCAAGCTGAGCTGTTCCCGGAAGTGCTGGGCGACGGCCTCTGGAGGGTTCCCAAAAGCACCACAGCCCCAAGCGCCCAGCACCAAATGTCTGTGACCGGTGAGCGCTGCTGCATGGAGCACTGACTGGACACGGACTTGGACCGTCTCGTGCCAGGCGCTGCTGCCAGCTTCTGGCCGGCCATTAGGCATGGCCGCCGTGAGGATGGTGCAAGTGCCCAAGGAAGGGCAAAGTTCGTAGCTGCCGGGGCGTCTCACAGCCGAAACATCTCGGGTCACCAAACATGCATCGCTCCTAATGGAGTAGAAGCCCTTCGTTCTAGCAGCCACCAAAGATGGATGTAACTGGGGCAGTAGTCGGCAAAGGTCTTCTTCTTGAGCACGTGCGCCGTGCAAATATCCGCCCCCAGGAAAATCTGCATTGGCAAAGTTCAGGGCGCTGGCATCTCCCAATGCTAAGGCGGCAGTGAGAGTGTCCACGTTGCAAACCTGCAGTCTTTGGTCCCCTTCAGCCCTTTGGGTCCTTGGAAAAAACCCTGAGCCCCCAGTTCTTCTTGATTGGATCTCACGTGGAGCGGTGTGGTTCCCATATAACTCCAAGAATTTTGATGTGCACACGCTCAAAAGGGTGCACATCGCGTCAAGTACGAGTAGGTGTGGGAATGTTGCAGCACATATCTCTACATGTGACTTTCTACATATCACTCCTTCACACGCGCCCCTAAATATGTGCTTTCCACTCTTCCCACTGAGGTAGGAACACCCAGCTGGGTAGTCTCAAAGCGCTTTGAGTAGTGCTGGTCATCTAAGATCACCTCCTCAGTGCTTAGCGAGGGCAGTTCTTCACAGTGTTCCAACTGGACCACTCCTCAGCTGCGGTTCACCCCAAGGGCGGGGGTGTGGAATACACTTAAGCTTGATAGTTCACCCGCCCATTCATTTGCTTGCTCACAAGGTGCATGACAAATGCTGACTAGCCAAAGGCCGAATGTCCTTTCTTCATGAGTGCCTCGTTTTCAGCCACCAGGTCTGCCAAGCGCCCGGCAAACTTTGCGGTGACGGCTGCCTGCTCCAAACGCCGTGTCAGCTCGGAGGACCACACATATCGGTGCGCCATGGCTGGCGGCGGTCTGACAAATAGACTTCGAAGGTTGCTCCCATGAGACGTATGTGACTCACTCTGGCTCTGTAGAAAGCTAACTGAAAGTTTGTTGTTTAGTTGAACCGTTGCACCATGTCTTTTGCAACAGCACGGCATGCATCGATTTTTCCTGTAATGGTTCAAAGCTTGCAGCTTGCAGCACAAAGAAATCATGGAAGTGACCTGTAGTTCCACATGCCATCACATGGCAAAATATTTGCCAAGTAGAAAAAGCACCTGGTGTCTGACACTCACTGGCCGTAGATTTCATCTCGAGCCGGGCTCTGCGCTGTTAGGGCCACCTCTCATTCTTGTGCGCGCAGGCTAGGGATAGGTTTAGGTTCACAAGCAAAAGTCGATGCACCACGCCTGTCAACCTAGTACCCATCGGCATCGCGTGCAAACAACTTGCCCCAGCTGTATCCCGATGTCCCTCTTTGACAAGTCTCGAATTGGCTTGCACGTCTTCCTGTTGCAGTTGCTCCAAGAGGCCCAGGCTCCGCTGCCATCGTCCACCTGCCTGTAATTGATGCAACGGGCATCTTTCAAGCAATTTAAGATATTGGGTGCCATCAGGGGACCGGTGTGTGGATATACCCTGGAATAATTAGAAATTATTCTGCTATACCCTCCACATGTTTGGAGAATATTATTCCTGCCGTAAAGTGCTCACTGGAATAGTTAATCAATAATACATCAAAATTGTACAAAAAACTGCCACAAAGCATTTGCGCCAACTGCAGAAATCAGCAAGAATCGCATCTTTTCCCATCTTGTCCAGCATTGAGTCTATGTCTGAGCCGTAAGAAGATTCGTAGACACTGCCACATCTGACATGAGAAACGGAAAAAAAAGAATGCTGGCGTCTAGGCATGAAGATTTACTAGATCGAGAAAAATATAAGTCTTCAAGAAAACCTCACGGTGGAAATCTACATTTCTGTCAATTTGCAACACTCTAGGCACCAACATGGACATAAAACATCATAAAACGAATTCAGGAAAGTGATTGTTTCCAGGTATAGAGATTCACCAGCTCAACAAAAATATGATACATCCAAGAAACCCTCAGTGTAGAAAATCTACATTTCTGTCAATTTGCAACACTCTAGGCACCAACATGGACATAAAACGAATTCAGGAGAGTGATTGTTTCCAGGTATAGAGATTCATCAGCTCAACAAAAATATGATACATCCAAGAAAACCTCAGTGTAGAAAATCTACATTTCTGTCAAGTTGCAACACTCTAGGCACCAACATGGACATAAAACGAATTCAGGAAAGTGAGTGTGTACAGACGTTGACGTTGGCAGACCAAGAAAACCATAAAGTCTATCAAACAACTGAATTGAAAAGATCCTCAAGAGCTGTAGAAATTATTCCCAAAAAAATATTCCATGAACCCACATAACCATTGGAATAATTTCAGAAGGCACGGAATATAGTTTAAGGATATGATATACAGCAGGCACAATTTGATCTCGATAATTGGCAACTGCTTTGTTGCATCCTCCTTTCCTCTCTCCGTCACCTCTCCTTTAATCCCCCACCCTCCATCCATCTATGCATTCATGCACCCACCGAGCCACCCATTCCGAATGTGAACATTTACTTGGATGGACCTAGGATGTCCTCGGATCACCATTTCCATAGTGAAGGGAACAAATGGATACAACGGAACCAAAGATGGCCAACACGTTTGGCAAACACGCTTGGCCTCACAGGCGCTCAGTGCCACTCCATACATCACCGCGTTCGGATACTTCAGCAGGCCCACTGCAGAGCGCCAGTGAGAACTTTGCAGCCAGGCCTTGGGCCAGTCGCCGGTTGGGCGAATTGACACCATTGGGCGATGCCCTTGTTACGTTCGTAGCGTCCTTGCTACTAGTAATAATGTCAGGAGCTACTAGTAGCTTCTGGCATTATTACTAGTAGCGATGAATTTACCCATCCAAGCGGGTAGAATAATGGTAGAAGTATGTAGAATGTGTTGGCCCAATTCATTGGATTCTGTCTGATCGCATCGATCAGAGTGGGTTGTTGGCTTTGACCTTCCAACACTATCCGGACAAACGAACGTTGGAAGCGGCCGGTTGAAGGCCACAAGCAAGTAGGCTCCAATGGATCGTCTGTGGCATACTTCTGCATGCATGCATATGTAGTCTAATTTGGCTGCTGTGTGACATGGTATGTAATGTGCATTGAATTTTATATAAGCTCATTTGATGCTCTGTCATCTGAAGATGTTAAAATCAAAAAGCGGTGCAGTGTAAGGCAGTGCTGCAGTGTACCTTCTGGAGTCTCATTCTCGACCTGTGGCTGTCACACCATGCCCCAGACCCTTTTGGGCCAGCCACACTCATGGCCGTGCTACAGGACACCACATTGGCTGCAGCGCCCAAGGCCTCTAGGGTCAAAAGCGCCGCTGGCCAGCACTCACCTGCAAAGACATTGATAGAAGGGAGGAACACCTTGGATGAACGGCCCATGTCTTAATTGAGACCTTTCATAGTTGGTTGGAGGCTGCCATCACACTTGACCAAGGAAAATAGTTGGGCAACTCCAGCCTCTCTGACAGGCACTCATAACACTGTTTTGGATCACCCGATCACACTGCAACGACATCTTGGGGACATCTGCCATCAATTGGACACCTTGGCACCACTTCCGGCACTTCTCACAGGCACTGACCACAGCACTGTGCACAATGATGTTGGGTCGCAGCCTTTCTTGCTGACCCTGCCACTTCAACCAAGCAACAGCTCCTTGCCATTGTGCACTCCTCCGGCATGCATTGATTGCATCACAGCTCTCTTGAAAGGTGGGCTGCGGCCTTGTAAATCTGCTGGGCAGGCTGACGGTATCATGAACGCCGGAGCAAACCATTCACATCGGTCGGGACCAATCCAGCTTCTTTCAGGTCAGGATGACTCGCCTGTATGCACCAGTTCTTCCTGGCAGCATGGAGCTGCTTAGCACTGAGTTTCGCTCCAGGCTTTCGAATCATGGCCAGCTGCGTTGAAAAAGGCTAAGGTCTTGAGCTGCTCTGAATGATAGGGTCACGCAAGAATGACAGAACCAGCGTTTCGCTGGTAAAAGTATGAAACTTTGGCTGGCATAGTTGCTCTAGGTCTAGGTCAGTGGGTCAACGCACCGAAACTGTCTGCACTTTGCTGGAGAGGCATTTACAAATCCAATCCATTCTCGATGGCTCATGAATAGCTCTTTTGTCCCCCGGGATGCGCTTCAAGTACAACGTGAGCCCGCTTCCAATGCGTTCAACCTGGCAACATACTGACCCTTCACCGGTTGCTCTTCAAAACGCACATGAATGTAACTGTCGCCAGGCCGCCCTGTGAAACTCATTCATTCACAATCCAAAAGGTATGACTCGGTATGACCAAATAGTGTGGTTCCAACATCCCAATGTTTATTTCAAAGAATGTGCCTGGCACCTGGCCTCGACAAGCATCTTCCCCAAGGCCAATCCCAACTCAGCTTCCTCAAAAAGACCTGAGTTTCCAGCCCGGAAACAGGTCTTCATTAATTAGCAAAACTGCTGAACTGCCGAGGTGTTGGCATTGCCGCGTCTTTTGACACCAATGGCCCAATTACACTCCCATGCCCTACCCTGCTTGAGCAAGGCAATTTGAGTAATTTTTTTAAACATCTTTAGGTCAACTCCCAGTGCTTGGTGAGCTGCCAGACATCAATAAGCCAGTGATCATGTCTGCCTGAAACAGCCATTGCTTAGAACGATTGGGTGCGGAATACCCTGACCGCTGCATCATAATCTTCATACACTGCTAGCCAGTTCGTTTGCAAATAAAACGAAGGGTCACCGCGGTTACTACTAGGTTACTAGGGCATTATAGTTCAATTCTCCTTGAACATGCGAGAAAGGATGGCGTCTAATTAGCGCCTGCAGTGCCTCCTTCCTCAATGACATCAGCAGCTCAGAGGCATGTCGCCAATGAAAGCAGTGGGCCTCAGGCCGCAACTCAAAGCTTTGGCGGCCCGCTTGGTTGGGGCAACTCAGCTGCGTCAATGCCAGTCTTCCGAGATTCAACTGAAACACTTGGTTCATCCCCACGACCAAAAGTGTAACAAATGAAATGCATAAACAACAATTAAACACACACATATATATATGCATAGATACAAGTGCAAGCTGAGAGGCACAAGCAGCGATAGCAGCATTGTAGGTCACCAGATTTGGCGCCATCTGTGCCTTCGAAGCAGTTCTTGCCCTTTTAAAGGTCACCCTTGCGGGCTAAGTCTTCGGGCCAAACAATTTCTGACTTCTTACCCGTGTACAGTGCTGGAGCGGCAGTGATACGGAAGCATGAAGCCCCCCTACAAGTAATTAGTCTGAATATGATCCACTTCGTGTTCACACATGTTCACACAGCTCGTCACCCTGTCATACTCATATACTCTGTCAACGAAGTGCTTTCCCCAAACACATCTAGTCACCTGGTGCGAAGCCATCATTTGCACGAACCATCGCAAACCCGGCCTGACAATGCAGGAGATCCATGAGATCAAGGGCGCTGGTCCAGCGGCTCCCCTTTTCACAAGCACTGATGCTGCTGGAGAAACTGATCACCTCGGCAGAAGAAGCAGTACAACAGAAGAATGGCGGAAGATCGATGCAGTGTGGGGCCGAAGCATACCTTCACAGTGGCGTTCACAAGTCTACGCAAAAGGCATCAAAAGACATTTTGTTGGAAAGGGAGCCCTTTCTGCCTAATTACGGTAATTTGTTGAAGCGTCAACACAAAGATTTGGGAACAACATGAACTTGACATAACACTTATATTCATATGGATCTTTGCCTATGAAGGTGAATTTCCTTGTCCAAACAAAGATTGGGCAAAGTTCTGCCTTTACGCGAGGGGTCTTCGCATATGCACAACCTGTGAGATGTGCCTTCGTGGGCCAACATGCATTATCTGTTCATAGTCGAAAGGATTGCATACCAATAACGTTGCTCAAATGAGCTCAGGAGTGATAGCCTGATGAAACTCTTGTGGTCAGCAAATGTGAGCAGCCTAATCGCTCTTTGTGTACGAGTTGCACACTCTTGTACATGTTGTAAACCTGACATAAGGGATTGATTGAAAACACCAACGTGCAGCCAACAACTTGTGCGTGTGTGGAACTTGTGCAGTTGGTGCAGGTTTAGCCCAAAGACGCTAGCTTCCAGATGTTGTCGAAGCATCTCCTGGAAAAGGAGAAGTGCCATCTGCCACTGCTCCTGCAGATCATGTCTGTCCCACAAACGCTGCACTTGGTTTGGCAAAACAAGGCGTTAAATCCTGAAAACTGCATGTCGCAAGTATGGCAATTGAGATTGAGGCGACAAACGCGGTATGCTCATGGCCTGTCTCTCACTAACTGGTCACTAGCCGTTCTCCAAACAGTTCCAACCGTCAAGCGCCCACACCCACCACAGAGGGAGAGGGAGGGAGAGAGGTAAAGAGAGAGAGAGAGAGAGATTGAGATTTAAAAAACAAATACAGAAAAAGAACAACCTGTCATCAAACTCTTCTGCAACCCAGCAGGCACATGAGTCAGTCCTTCTCACAGGCGCTAATGGCGGCATTGTAGCTGACGCCATCCGCCTGTCTCAGGAAGAGAATTGAATAAGCAAGGAGCTTTGTATATGTATATATGCCATGTAAATAAATACTGTACAGTATATTTCTGCGTATGATATAGGCTGACAACACGAGTGCTAAGGAAGAAGACATTCCACCTCCATCTGACTCTCAAGGAGCTGGTTGAGCAGCGCCACCGCCGCACGCCATTGTGAGCGTTTTTCACATGCACTGATTGCCTGAAGATCAACCACGATCTGTGCACGATGTCATTTCTACATGCTGTATCTCTCTTGAAGCGCAATTTTCAGTCCATGTGACATATGTGCAATTCTTCACTCCATGTGACATTGCACAGCTTCCACCCTGCATCCAAGGTCTGGATGAGTCAGCCCTGAGATTGGGTCCAAGTAGCAGCGCTGTAGGCGATCACGTCTGCCCGCAGCTCTCGCGTCAGAATTTCCTGGCAGGAAGCATCCAAAATTGAACAGCAAGTGGTGGACTGCAGGAAGGCCACGTGTTGTGGAATTCTAGAAAAATCTCTCTGACAGCGTGCCCAGGTTTGCCGCGAAAATGATCTCTCATGCTACCTCCAGGAGCTGCAAAGCCATTCGCCATTTGCCCCGCTTCTCGCAAGCGCTGATCACAGCGCTATACCTGGCGATGAAGGCGCTTCTATAGCCAAGCACAGAATCAGCTAGTAACGGAAACCAACCAACAAACTATGGCCCCCCAGGCAACTATCACGCGAGCCACGCTTCTCAACTCAACAGCTGATAAGCGCGGTGTGCGTGCGAGATGATGCTGACGTCAATTACCTGCTTTGCGTCAAAGCCCTTGAGGAGGTGCAAGGCCAGCTGCCATTGGCCCCCCTTCCTGTCAGCACATTGCAACGGTAGGATCCAATCTTTGAAGTGCCTTTGACTGCTGGTGGCACAGTGACACACAAATAAAATTCTATATCTGCTCTCCATGCTAAGGGCTTGGAAAGACCAGACTGTTCCATATCAGTTCAGAGCATGAGGTGAAAATGATTGGAGTCAAGGTTCTCAAAGGCACTGAGCACGGCATTGTATGTAAACTCATCTGCCTGAAGCTCTTGACCTTCAGAATTGTCAAAATGTGTTTTTTTAATGAATAGGACATGTGCCATGTTCATGGTGAGTCTTGCGCAGTTGGTGCTGAGTCTGCCTTATGGACGAAATTAGAGGCGGTCTTGACATGTTTTGAATATTTCCACTTAGCTCGATAGAACCCAGGATGATGTGGTAGATGCAACCCCAAGGAACTTACCGATACTGCTTACATCAAGCGAACACGGCCGCCTCGCACTCTTTCACCAATCCAGTGGTGCCTTCGAACACTCTTCCCAACCCAACCCAGCTCACCTGAAAGTGTTTCGAGCAAGCACAAGACCTCTTGCCAGTGTCCAGCCTTTTCGCAAGCACTGATCGCGGAATTGAAAGTGATCAAGTTCCTGAGAGCACAAGAAAAAAGAAGTGCCCATGGTCTTGCATGGCTAACTTGCTGAGCTCGTGTCCAAAATGACCCGCCGCCATCAACAAGTACAGTTCATGATTGAGTCTGAGTGAGGTACTAATAAGCGAAGCATGCACTTGCCAAAGCACTTGTCAGCCCCAACAAGCCATCCTTCAACCTGGTGTGGTGTATGCAATGTTCGGTCCGTCATGGTTTGAAGATGATTGAAGTCATGTAAGGATTTATTTGAGGGGCACCTGCGTGGATGATTTATCAAGCCCGAGCGTCGCCACAAGCTCTGCATCCGACATGGTTCCAAGTAAAGCCATGGCCACTTCCCATTTTGCACACTTCTCGCCTTGGGTCAACCCTGTTGGATTGTTGATGGTTTTGGGTTCCGGAGAGAGTTGTGATGCTGAAGTTGGCACTTGCGAACGAGGCAGGCAATTCGTGGAACGCAAAAGCTGTTTTTGCTCCAGGCCCTACCCCCAGGCCCTAAGTTTAAGGTGCGACTCCACATGTAATTTTCTTCTGAGGGCTCGATGGCCGATTTTGTAGCGACGCTATAACAAGATGCCTCCGATGCATACGCTGTCCGGTTCCCCGATGTTTGCCAATGTCACAGGCAGAGATGGCGGAGCTGTAGGTGATCACGTTTGGCAAAAGCACTGAGGTCACCATGTCCTGAGAAACTAGGATAGACTAAGGACAGTTTGCCTGAGTGGCATGATGGGTTAGACTCTACTTCTAACTTCTACTGCCCGCTTGCGTGCGAGTTTTAATCCCACAGCTGGTCATTCTATTGCATGTCGTTTCTCTTGATTTTCACATTCCTTCGTTTTTGGGTGGAAGTCATGATGCTGGCCTGATTGATCGTGATCCACGCTCGGATCTTGACCGATCAAATCAGGAATCTGCTTGCGGAGAGGCATGCTTCTACTAGTCCGACACAATGGACCCCTAATTATTGAAAGCAAAAGAAACCTCATTCAGTACCACTTTCGCACCACGGCGAGGTTTCCTTCAGGAGCTGAAGCGCCAAAAGCCATTTCTGGCCCTTGCCACATGCACCTCGAGGGCTGCTCAAAAGAGCTATATTGTTCCCGTTCTCAGGCTACACTCTGGACCTGCAGACTTTGGAAATTGGACAGCTTGTGCAAAGTGCAGCTGCAGATCAGCGTGAACCCACGGGCCATAACACTGAAAGTCAGGCATTATATGATCCCAACAATTGTGACTTTCCTGCCAAGCAGCTTAATGCTGCACTATAGGTGATGACATTGGCCTCCAAATGCAAAGCATTCAGCTCCTGATTGAGGGGCCAGCCAGTGGGGATGCTTCTCCATGTCATGCTAAAGTTTCCCTCAAAAAATGGACTTATATAACACATTGATGTATTAGCTAATTTTGGACCGAGGACCTTGTTTCACTGTCTTACCTTGCAAGCTGGTTCCAAGACACATCTTCTCAACAATTGCAGCACAGTTTCCACCAAAGCCTGTAAGGCGGATTGCCATTGACTTGCGGCATGGCACGCGCTGACCACCTTGCTGAGGGTCAACTCTGCACCTCCTCTCCTAAAAATACAAACACCATCTACTGGCAAATTGGTCGTATATAACTGACCACGAACACCACCCCGTTGCTTTGGCATGCGGAGGGCGTCAACTGCAACATAAACAACTGAGTTCAACTGAGTGGCTGCATTGTAGACCACCACATCAACTTCACCTTCTTCTCTGCTCAGCTGAGACAATAGGTTGATCGCTCGTTGCCACTGAACACCACAAGCGCAAGCGCTGATCGTGGAGCTGTAGATGATGCCATTCGGTCGATCAAAACTCTCCTGGTGGATCTCATCTCACACAAAGGGGCACCCAGACTTCCACCCAGTGGCACATTCATTTCCCCTTCTGGACTCCTAGACAGTGAAATTTTTGGAATGCAGTCCCAATCACCAAACCAAGCAAATGGGAGGGACTTGCTACAATTACAGGAGCTTTCTGCGTTATGACGCAGGCTATTACTTTCACCGAAATACGGCTTCTTTTAGGATGCCTCAACCGTTAATATACTGTCCAAACACCCTTCTTGGCCAACCGTCCTGAAGATTGGAAAAATGCACGATGGCCTGCTGCCAACTGTGACTTCTGCCACATTTGTTGATAGCAGTGCAGTAGGCTCGGTAAGTCTGCCTCCTTCACGGTGCTGAGCACTCAGCGTTCAAGGATATATGGAAGGCAAAGGGATTTCACATGTCAATATTGTCAATCAGCAAACCATTGAAGATATCAATGTGAACAAAAACCGGAGTCATGAATTAAGCCTCAGCCTCTGTGTCTCCTGGATTTCCTTGACATACTATGCCCTGGACTCTTCATACAACGCTTCTAATGATTCTAATGAATTTGAATATAACAAAGACATCCAAAGACCCCCTGCAGGCAGATGGGTTGATGCGAAATCTCCATGCATCTCTGGCACCTTCCCTCTCTCTGTTCCCCTCCATTCCCCTCCCTTCGCCTGTCGGAGTCGGAGACCTCATGACATGACAAAGGCACGTGGAGTCATTTACTGTAGCATCCTCTCTGCAATTACCGGTGCATGTCGGGCATGCCATTTATGTCTGGCTTAACTAACTTTATCCATTTAATAGAGCTTAATTCGGCAGAGAATCATTGTCCTGTCACATGATATCGTGAGAGATAGTGAGAGTGACCTGATATTGCTATGGATCCCGTGCCCAAAAACCACACATGGTCGATCCCGAGCCCGCCTTGTGCCTCCCATTTGTGCCCATTCCCTGCCAAAGGTGTGGAGACTGTGAAGGACTTGTGCCAAGCAAAGCCTAGCAGCCTTCACTTTCGCAACATGACTTCCCCAACGGTTGGTCTGGACTGGAGCTGAAAGCATCATGTCATCAGGAGTTGATTGATCTTACTGAACTGAGCCAATTTGAGAATGTGGAGCTGACAGCATGCACGGTTTAAAGCGTAACCCCAAGCCCTGCCTCAATGAAAGGAACATCAGGATGGCTAGGGCAGAGCCAAGGGCCCTCAAAATACTCCTCTTCTACTTCTAAACTTGCATTGAGCCAGCTGTGCTGACGCATCCGAAACATCAGGGGGGAAGCTATTAGAATGTTACAGTCGCCGTCAATGATGACTCACAGATTGCCTATAGACCTTGGTATGATCTGATGCAGAATGACCCAATTCTTTCTTGGGGGTGCTCTCGCAGGCTGCTATGCTGCTCTGACTTCATTGGCCACTTCGGCATGCAGTTGCTGGTGTCCAACCGCAGGGTACCGTCAAATTGGCGTGTGTCATTGACCCGCAGACGCTAAATAGACCCCCCAAAATCTTGAAAATGCTATGGCACTGCCACGCTCTTCCATGGCAGGGTGAAAGCAAAGTATTGCCCGTCTCGGCATCAATGAGGGAAATCACATCATTGACAGGCTTCACGTTCAAACTGCCCTGGTCATCCTGCTCCAGTTGCTGAAGCCGTGACTCAGGCAACTGCCCAAAGAGTACACGGACAGCATAGTGAACGCCAGGAGAGGCAAAGGTGATGGTCAGCAGCTTCTCAGGCCAAGGCAACTCTAACTCAACAAGCCGTGCAATGCCACCACCCAGTGAATGCCCTGCAAGGTAGAAGGTTCTTTCGGGATACTTTCCTCGACAGCCAGCAAAGAGTTGCTCATAAAGGACCCCTGATATGATTGTATATGTACAAGTACATTGGTTGGTCAATACTCTTTCGTGATGGAATGGCAATTCTTCGCGCTGATAAAAGTATCTTTCGCGGCCTCGACGGTCCTAAAGCCATGTGTACTTAACATGTGCTTGAACTATATAAACAAGTGGTGATTTGCATGGTGCAGCACTACCTACACAAGGTTGAGAGTTGCTACGGCTAATGTAGGGTCACTTGCAGCATCTGCGCGTCTGTGCGACAAAGCTTGAGGAATAATTCATTTACCTTGAGGGGGCTTGCAATAATAGAGTAAGGCACAACTCAATCCAACCATCGTGCCAAGTACCAACAAAGCATAACGCATCTCGAGCAATGTGGGGGGGGGGTCAACATTGGAACCAAGACTTTGACAGCACATTGGCGGATCTTTCACGAACATTCACTGGTGATTTCCGCGAAAATGCATGTTGTGCACAAACATCTGCACAACCTGTCAGAGCTGCGAATCGTTGCCCCACTGCAAGGGTGGGGACAGGAACCGCAGAATCCTGTACGCACAGTGAGGAATGCAGTTCGTTAGTCTGTGACAGTATGTGGACACTTCCGCCCTCCAGCTCCGCCGGAGGATTGCCTTGTAATTCTACCATATACGAAGGACATGAATACAAAATAAACATGAAAACGTTCTAGAAATCTGTCGCAAAAGAAACCTTTGCGCACCTCATCGCGGATTTTTCACAAATGGTTTGGACAGCATTTGGAATGTCGTTTTATATCATACCCCTTACACACCCCTTCAGATCAACTCCCACATATATATATATATATAAATACATATGTATATATTTTTTTTCTTTATATTGTGTGTGTCTCGGTGCATGGCACCAACGAAGGCAAGAAAGTAATGAATCATGCTGAAATGGTGGATTCAGCTTCTCATCATGAACTCAGTCGCCACAAGGACAGACTTGAAGGTATTTTCTTCGGCAGAGTGAGCCGTCGGGATTAGCTCTGACAGCGTTGCAATCGACTTGCCCCAAGAGCCAGAATTGATATCAGGCCCGAACATATTCATGGTTTCCATAAGAGCTGGAACCAGCCACAAAGATACATCTTGCAACACATCCACAAAAGTCACGGTTCCACGGACAGCAATCACTGTGGTGTAGTTGTCTTGCGATGTGAACATCAAGAATCTAACCCAGTCGACCCATGGTTCAACTCTAGCATCGTCCGGCCTGGCCTCTATGTGCCACTGACCAGGGAAGTAGTGCACACAGCCCTCTTCTGCTCGGTCTGCGGATTCATATGTAAGGGATACCATCAAAGCAAAGTCGACCAAGCTCAATACAGGCGGCTTCACTTTAGAAGCTGGGGGATGTCCGTATGGAAAGCGCACCAAGCACAACGGCAATTGACTCGGAAGCGATGGGTCGTATGCGGGCTCTGCGGGGATTGAGACGAACGTTGTCGCATTCATCGGTGTTCCGAAAGCACTCCAGGCCTGCTCTTCCCAAAAGCTCCGCAGGGCAACACAAACAAGCACCACGAAAAGCATGTGAACCTTAGAGGCCCAAAACAACACAACACGGAGTTCTGCTGACCCAAATCTGGAGACAGCGACAAGAGAAGACCACAAGGTTCAGAACAGTACAATGGGTCTTTGGGGCTCCGAGGGTTTACCATCTGGTTGTTGGATCTTGTTGAACAATTTCACCACAGCCACCGTGCCCAAAATGATGGTGCTGGCCACACGCACCCGCTCACCAGCTGAGATAGCCCGCTGGTAGCCGAACTGCCTCATGAACGACAGGAGCACAAAGACGGCGAAGTCTTTCAGCCTGGATCGAAGATCTAGGAGGTGTCTATGACGAGTGAATGCTAACCAGTTCCAAATGGCCAAATGCGTCCTAGGTTCAATACATCGAATTGTTTATAGTTTATGCCTGGCCAGTGCGGTATGAAAACCGTAATGCCGCATGAAGAGGGAAGCACAAAAAGTGAAAAAGAAAAGCACCGGAGACGCGATACAACTATGATCGACTTTGTAACAAGCAACCCATGTTTGCTTGCTGTCAAAATGAGAAGACAGGCCAAAGCTGTGTTGTTCACAATGGACTCGAGGAAGGCAAAGAGCCATCCCAGTTGTCCCTCCACATGCATCCAAAGCATGCGCAAAAACATGTAGCAAAGAAGGCTCATGCAGGTGATGGCCAAGGTCGGGAAATGAAAGGCTCCGAAGACGGAGGCTGAGACGAAGAGCATCATCGCAGAATGATAACGCTGACGCTTCTGCGCATGGAAGCCCAAACAACACCACTTCTCGCCCCAAGCCTTGGCAGGCGGAGGGGAAGCAATTTTTTCTCCTTCCCCCATTCTTCTCATCCACAACCAATACAACCATGCGCAAACCTGTTCATTCAATTGCAGTAATCCGTTTGTCCTTGTGCCACGCAGTTCTCAGCACGTTCAAACAGAAACAAACCCATGATTCAACGATTCTGCTCCCGCGTGCCTGCAGGATCTCTGGGTGAGGAAAACATTTATACATCCACGTTGGAGTGCACTCGTCTCCCTCCATGGCACCGTCAAAAAGGCAAAAGTTCAACACCATCAGAATGGCGACCAGGAGGGCCATCACGCCTCCTATTATCCTGCACGTCATATTGTCTAAAAAGAAAAGCAAGTTGGAGCTAAGGATGAAAGCACCAACATCACCCTACTTGGGGGGCTTTCAAAAGCTTGTTCCATGCGGAGCTCAATGGTCAGAAGGCTGGTTCTGTGGAACGCAAAGCCCAAAATCAAGACCATAGTGCCAACCAAAACTGGCAAGAGGAACTCCAACCAGTGGAAGATGGTGCAGCACAGCAGGCAAATGGACCTGCGCTCTGCCGATGTGGAGGAAAACTGTAAATCCTGTGGTGACATCCAAATGCTCCCAGTATCACCTGAGCGTGAGAGGCGATAGTGGACCAACACTCAAACAGCATGCACCGCAAAGGGCTATGAAATGCTATAAATATGTATAGCCATTGTATAACTCCCGAAGGAAAATGCACTAATCCCTCAGTGACATTACATTTGGTGTAAGAAGCCTCGCAATTACGGTTTGCAGACCGGGCACGTGTGCTGGTCCGTGACTGCGGTGTTTTCAGGCCACGGGCGGCCCGCCAGGCGGAAAGGAAGGCCCGCAGCTTCAGAGAGAGCTCACCGAAGAGCCTTGGTCAAGCCGGAGCTCTTCAGAGCACTCAACGGGCGGGTCCAGGACGGTCCAGGGTCTACGTTTGAGCGCTGAGTTTGAGGTGGTTTCTGGGGGAGAAGTTTTGGGGAGATGTCCCCAATCAGTCATACCGACCATGCCCTATGCCCTATCTTTAGGAGATGTGACCATGAGTTAAGGACGATATAGCCTGCTGCAACATCATGCTGGGAAGATTATCTTCCTCAAATTGAGTGGTTGAGTGTGGTAAAAGTATTATTGCAGGGTTTTCCAAGAGTTCGCACATCGATTTCCGAGGACATATCGCACGCAACGACAACAGGGGTATTGCCAATTGTTTATGGAAGCCCCATATCATTTCCAAGGGACACTTAAAAAATCACAGTCTTGGATGGAACGATATGAAACGCCCTTATATAAAGTAAATCACAATAACTTGGAGCACGACTCGTACACCGACCAGCGAGAAAAGCGCCATCACCTTGCAGGTAGGAAGCCAAAGCAAATAAAAAGCTAAAATATGGGTGACTCCAATGCCCAAGCAGATCTTGCAAATCAGTCTGTAGCTCACAATCTCAATGGGGCTCTGCATGAGTAAAGCCATCGGCACTAAGTTCAAGGACACATGCAGCAAGCACTGGAACATCACATCCCAGCTCTGTTGAGCGCGGGTAAGGCAAACCGACCAGCTGTGGGTGTAGAATTCTCCTTCATCTAGCTCCTTTTTGGAATCCTGAACAACCAGCCTGCGGTAGGCTTCAAAGGCATCTGCTCTCCAAGCATCCTTGCAAAGCAGGTACGCGAAACGGAGCAAATCGCTCGTCACAGAGAGCAAAATGCATGACCGGGCAAAAGCGCCCAAGAAATGCAGGGATGTAGCATATGGAGAATCTGAATGGAAGCTACTGTTGCCTGCAAACCAGTCCTTGTTGCAAAGCGGTGAGCCCTATGATGGTTCAAAGGGTGTTTTGCAGAAAAAGCTTATTCTTTATTCTATCGGTGTAAAGCATTGCATTTCATGGCCTGCCAGGTTGCAGTGTAAAACCGTAGCAACGCGGTTGAACAGTTCACAAAGATCAACATGCTGGAAGCCACAAAAAGATAGCAATGCCATAGTGCAAGCGCTCCGGCAGCCCAAGACTTGCCTACGTTGGCAAGAGTGAGGTGGCCCCATGTAGGAACGATGTAGCCAATGCACAGGCCAACCCGCCAGCAGCCGCTTATCCGTTCAGCTTCTTCATACGTTTCGTCCTCACTGTTCTCTTCATCGATGTCATCTAGACTCAGACTTGCATGGCTTGCTCTGGTCCTCGAATGCTCTACGGCAGCTTGTGACCAATCGTGCAGCATCTGGTCGCTTCAAAGCAATTGCTAGGAAGCATTGCAAGCCATTCATCTTGAACAGGCTTGGGCCCCCAAATGTCAGAGACCAATCCCCACACTCACTGGATTTGAACTACTTGCAAAGTAGCACTACAGTATCTGAAAAGGTAGAATGAACCATGTTACTGCAAAACCGCAATGACTGCCAATTTGCCTCCAAAGGGTCTGTCTGATGTCTGATCTTCAGAATCACGGCGTACAGTTTCTCTTCAGAATCTTCCGTGACTGGAAACGGTTCGAGCTGGACCGGGCGGCTGCAAACAGCTTTCCTAGATGTCAAGTCGATCCGAGGATGTCCCTTTCATGACTGCCTCCTGAGCTGGAAGAAGCGGACACAGCTCAGGAACCATTACATACTGCTCAATTTGCACCTGGGAATCAGGCCAGCTGCATGAGGAATACCTAAAAATCCTAAAAGCAACACTGCAGCACTGAGTATTCCATCAAGTCCTGCCCTGCTATACGGAACCCATCGGAACCACCTTTTCACCGTATATAGTCTCAGCTTTGGAGACCACCTGTACAACCAAACTAGACTCAGCGACTCAGCGGCAGTGATTCGGCAATTGGAAGGCTCTCTTATTTTGTTGATTGTCGGCATGTATAAGTTTTTCATGCGCCAATCAGAGTCCTTCGTGCCTTTTTTTCAATCACTCCACTCACTGCTACGACATAGCACTCTGGCCTTGTACCACAGAAAGTTAGCAAGGTGCCTCGGGCGACCAACCGCAGGGAACCGTCAGATTCCGATGCGTCATGGAGCCGCACGTCTTGAAGATGCCCCACAGAGTCCGATAGATACCTACGAAGACAGCTAAGAATCCAGCTGAGTGGTGCAAACTTGAACACACTGGGGTGAGCTAGAATCAAGTATCCAAGTTTGCTGTCAGACTCGCTCTCAGCCGAGAGAGATGTTCTCTTTGACACCCTGAAAGTGACTGAAAATGCACCTCAAACAAAATGATCGATAAACAAATCCTGTCAGGACTAGTACGAGGTGGTGGCGTGCAAAGCCAAAACATGCAATAGATATTGTCAAAGTGTGGGGTGGGGTACTTCAATGTATGCTTCAATATGTATTCTTGCCACTACTGACCAGGGGTAGCTACGTCCAAGCAAACCTGTACCGAGCTACTGTGACACTGCCAAGCTCTTCCTTCGCAAGGTGTAACGACGGAGTTGCCGAGGTCGATGTCGATGCGAGAGATGATGTCATGCATAGGCTTTACCTCTGATGCATGTGTACATGCAACTGCCCTGACTTTTCAAACTCGGGAGCCAAATAGAACATCAGGAAATGGAGAAATCTGCGGGTTCTGTGTACCGTAATTATATAAGGGATCTTGGTACAGTCATGCACATCTGCCGGCAACAAAGCCGTTGATACTGATGACGATACTTGTGATGATTATGCTTCTGGTCTGTGTCCCTGCCGAAGCTTGTTCGAACTTGTTCAGCTGTATGACTCGATATGACTCGGATCTCTTCTAGCGCGTTTGGGGGAAGTTTTCCAAGCCACAGTTAGCGTTGACATCTCATCCTCTTCCAACTTGTCATGAAGGGCCCTTGGCAACTCCCCAAACATGACACGTGCAGCGTGGGCAATTCCTGGTGCAGAGAACGCCAAAGTCAGCGGTGAAGCAGCGTAAGCACCTAGGAGCATCCAACGGGCCAAGAAGAAAATACAAAAGAGACACACACACATATATATATAATTATATATATATATAATTATATATAATATGTCAAAAACATTCAAAAACCATATGATATCGAACTTGGAACTTCAGGGCATACAGGGAGAAGAAAAGGCTTCAAAGAAGGATGCCTTTCTGCAAGCCTGCAGCACTGAGTTTCAGGGCCACCAATTTTGCCACACCACCTCCCAATGAGTGCCCCGCCAAGTAGAAAAGCCGCTCCGGGTGTGATTTGATCATAAACTCTGTTGCAGCAAGCACGGACGAGAACGACCTCTCTGTGTTCACAGTCGATAAAGGAATGAGGCGAGAAAGTGATGATATGGCCTGACCCCATGCTCCAGAGGACACATCAGGACCGACAAAGTTCATGGCTTGCATGAGAGCAGGAACCAACCACAAAGCTACATCCTGCAAAACATCCAAGAAGTCCATCGTACCACGCACGGTGATCACAGTTGTACTATTGTCAGACGATGTGAACATCAGGAATCGGACCCAGTCCATGTCGGTCTCTGGCCTCCTTTCGATCCGCCATTCTGAGACAGCGAAGTAGTGCTCTAGGGCCTGTTGAGCGCGGCTACTCGTTTCATAGGTGAGCGAGGCCATTAAACCGAAATCGCCAAGGCTCAGTGGAGTAGATTCTGGAGCTCCCAGCTTGCTGGTGCCCATGGGAAAGCGCAGCAGGCAAAGAGGCAACGGAGTTTTAGACTCCAAAGGGTATCGGGAAATCGGATAGTACTTGGTTTCGCTCATGACCGGTGCAAAAGCACTCCAATCATAATCTTCCCAGAAACTTTCCAAGGCAAAGCACACAAGAATCACCAAGAGAAAATGAATGATTCCAAGGACATTCATGGCGGCAATTCGTACTCGCTCGCCTCCAACCACCTCCCTTTGAAAGCCGAATTGGCGCATCAGCGACAGAAGGAAAATGACTGCTGCATCTTGAAATTTGTCTTTGGCGGTAGCTATGATCACATAGTTCAGAAGTATGAACTCCACAAAAGCTTCCAGAAAAGCCCACAGCCAACCAGCAGGGCCTTCCACCCGCATCCAAAGCAGCCGAAAGAACGCCACAAGGACCAGGAACAAGCAAGCCAGTGAGAGAAAAGCAAATCTAAATGCCCCAAAAACGGTCCCAGACACGGCCAGCATAATCAAAAAGGAGTAGCGCTGTCGCTTTTGTGCGGTGTAACCCAGGCGGCACCACTTCTCTCCCCAATCTTGCAGAGCCTCTGGGTAAGTGAAGGCTCGAAGCACGAATGCCGGCACACGATCCTTGCAGGCCTGCTCTTCCTCATCATTGTTTGGATTCCTCCACGTCATCACCATAATCAAGAGCGCCAGCCCCGCAAAAGTGCACCCCACGATGACTAGATTGTTTCTGCCGAGTGCTAGTCCCACAACTAAGGTTAGTATCCCCAAAAGCAAGGGCATAAGGAACTCGATCCAGTGGAAGATGGTGCAACAAAGCACGCAGATCGATCCTGCTTCTTGGATGCTGGAAAAACATCTTGGGCACCCTTTGGCATTCTAGTCTCCCAAACAAACGAAAACTTGTTGTGAAAAGCTGAAGATCGTTTCTCGGTGGAGGCAAATTGCATGCCCTCCGGCGTCATCCACAGGCTCCCCGTGTCCGGCATCATGGGCATCGCGATCCGTGGTGGACGAGTACCCCCACGAGCCATCTTCCAGGCACGCGCAAAGCTCATGACTTTGAGATAGACTTCGCCGCCAAGCCAAAGAAAGTAGAAGACAAGGACGTGAAAGCCACCAATGGCCAAACATACTTTGCAAACGAAAACTCGGGTGATATCATTGCTAAGCATGCATGCAACCAGTAAGCAAAGCGGTGCTATATCCAAGGAAAAATGCAGAAGGCATTGGAAGATCACATCAAATGTGCGCTGCCAGCGGCCCAGGCTAACAGACCAGCTATGGGTGTAGAATTCTCCAGCCTCCAATTCTCTCCAGGCATCGCCTACCAAAAGCCTCCGATAGGCTTCGAAGGCATCAGGTCTCCATGCGTCCTTGCACAGCAAGTAGGCAAAGCGGAGCACATCGCTCCCAACAGTCAGGACAATGTAGCACCTCACGAGGGTTCCAAAGAAGTGCAGGAATGTCTCATAGACGAAGTGGCAGCAAATCCGCCAGGACATCAAATGAAGGCTGATGCCTGAAAACCACTGGATGTAGCACCGCAAGAAAGTGGCAGCGCAGTTGTAGAAGATGAGCAAAGCAGCTGAGAAAAACATGTAGCAATGCCAAAGTGCACATGCCCCTGCTGCCCACGATCGGCCCACGTTGGCTATACTGAGATGTCCCCAGGTCGGGATCATGTAGCCGATACACAGGCCTATGCGGAAGCAGCAGGTCATCTTCTCTTCCTCTGCATCCGATTCATCAAACTCGTCGATCTCATCGGCCAAGCTTGAGATGCCGGAGATGCCAGTATGGGGGTCTGTCCAGGCAGAATCTCTCGTGTGCGCGTGCTCGATAGCGGCATGGGACAAGGATCGCAACATCGCGCCTTCGCCGGGCGCCTCTGTGGTGACTTCGTTGGACGTTCGTTCAAATCCCAAGGCAATTCATGAAAATGATCAATGATGGTGATTTTGCCTGGCTGTGTCAATTGCAAACACGATCAAACAACTCGAGCTATGTGTTTCGCATTTTCATGCTAAGGTCTTCGTGCTCGTTGCTGCGGCTAACCGCAGGCAAACATGATCGGGTATGGTGAAGCCAATCTTACAATGGAATGGAGGGGTTAGAAGCTCTACCGAAGTCTGGGACCATGACGTTTAGTGCCGCCTAGAGTAAGCTTGCTTGGCTTCTTGAATCCGGCATTCTGTTCTAGAACTAGGCGCCTCTTACCTTCAAAAGGCCCATGTTTTTTTCTCTGCTTTGGAGCGTTTTTCGATGAAGCTATATCGGTCAATCGGAGTCGACTGTCAGCACGGAGCATCCGAAGACCAGCCACAAGGAATTGTCAATTGCTTATGGGTCATGGAGCCGCAAGTCTGAAACATGTTCCAAAGCGTCAAATAGATACTGTGACAGCGGTAGGCTCTTTCATCACAGGGTGTCACTATGGCATTGCCACGGTCCAAATCAATGCGAGAGATGATGTCATGCTCCGGCTTGACCTTGTGGGATGCAAATGGGTGGTGCCACTTCTGTGGTCTCCCTCTAGCCAGGCCAGAAAAAGCTTGAAAGCTTCAGCATTCATGGGGGCGACCACGGCATGCATCACACAGACAGGAAAGAAATGGAAAAAGAAACTTAGGCCAGGAGTTGAAACCATGTGAACTCTGAGTCTTAGATGAGGTGTGGTCAAAAGCCCCCACTTTGGGCGAAAATCGTTGGTTTGGTTCCCAGTCGCTGTGATGGTCGACAGGGAGTCCTGATTGAGCTTCTTATGGAGGTCTCTCGTCAAGAGTCGAAAAAGCCTCCGCGCAAAGCCGTGCGAGTTGCCACGGTCCAAAGCCTTGGGCTGTGGCGCCCACTCCCCGAAGAGGACCCGTGCAGCATGGCGAATGCCGGGGGCTGAGAAGGCAATGGTGGTTGTTTCGGTGGCACCTGGGCGAAACCCATCCAAAAGTAGTGGCTATGTGATGATCTCTCTCTCATATCAATCAGAGTGAGAGGGGCACCATATCTTGGAACACGTAAAGTGATTCTAATTAAACTAATAGTAGCTTCTTGTTACTACTAGCAAGGCACTTGTTACTAGAAGCGATGCACTTGTTCCTAGTAGCTTCTTGTTACTACTAGTTACTAGTTTTAATTGAATTAATTGGATCATTTTGGAACACAAACTCCGCAAAAAGTGTCCGAAACCGCAGTCCCACAACAGCACCACAACACCTGAGCTCTACCAGGGGTGCCCAGTATTGGTAGCTACAATGAACATGCTATTGCAGTCGTAGCACTCAGCTTCAGCGAAACCAATTTCGCCACACCACCACCCAATGAGTGCCCAGTAATATAAAAAAGTCTTTCTGGAAATGCTTTCATCATGAACTCAGTTGCTGCCAGTACTGAGGAGAATGACCTCTCAGCCGAGATCATTGACAATGGAACAAGGGTGGAGAGCTCTGCGACGCTCTCTCCCCAAGCTCCAGATGAGATGTCTGGGCCGACAAAGTCGAGGGTCTGCATAAGGGCGGGGACCAGCCACAAAGACACATCTTGCCTACAGCTGAAGAAAACTGAATCCCACCAGAAACTTCCAAAATCTAGGAGTGCTTCTTTCGGAGACAAGAAAAGAATGACAAAACAATGGGATCGGAAGAGCTAGATGCAGTGCATCCAAGAAGTCCAACGTGCCGCGCACAGCGATCACCGTAGTGCTGTTGTCTTCAGAGGTAAGCATCAAGAAACGGACCCAGTCGATGTACCTCGCACTCTCTGGTTTTGTCTCTAAACGCCATTTTGGAAAGTAGTGCCTCAATCCCTCTCGAACCCGAGAGGACGGCTCGTAGGTCAGCGAAGCCATCAAACCAAAATCAGCCAAGCTCAGAGAACTTTGCTCTGGTGTTTCAAGCTCGGTGCCAATCGGGAAGCGGAGCCGACAAAGAGGTAGAGGAGTGTAAGACTGATTGGAAGAATAAGTGGGAATTGCATAAAACTTGGTCTCGTTCATGGCATGGCCAAAAGCACTCCAATCCTCATCCTCCCAAAAGCTTGTCACGGCAAAGCACACCAGAATGAGAAAGAGCACGTTGGTGATTCCCAAGACCATCATAGTAGCGAGTCGCACCCGCTCGCCTGCGCAGATCTCTCGTTGAAAGCCAAACTGACGCATCAGCGACAAGAGCAAAACAATCGCTGCGTCTTGAAACTTGTTTCGGGCGGTCGCTATGATGACGTAGCTCAACACAATGAACTCCACCACGGCTTCCAAAATTGCCCAAAGCCAACCAATTGGCCCCTCGACCCGCATCCAGAGCAGCCGAAGAAAATTGATCAGCACTACAAACACGCAGGCCACTGAGAGGCCAGTAAATCTAAAAGCTGCGAAAACAATTGATGACAGAGTGAGCGTCAGGGTAAAGAAAAACCGCTGTCCTTAGGGTATCGAAGACATGATCAAATGATCAAAGGTCAAAATCAAAGTTTGCTGGCCGCTAAGGAACTGATACAATCAAACCAAACGGCTATTCAGCACAAAGCGGCTCTTCTGCTGAAGGAAACTTAAGCGACACCACCGCTCACCCCAGTACTGTAAGGCATCCGGATAGAGCAGGACACGGTAGATGAAGGCTGGCACAACGGGCCGTCTGCACAGCTTCTGCTCTTCAAAATCCGTAGCTTCAGACTCGCTAAGTTCCGTAGGCTTCTGCAAGGAGACCAGCAACATGATGAAGGCGGCCAATCCAAACCCTGCACCTAGAATTGCAAGATGGAGATGATGCACAATCAAGCCTACAATGAAGGTCACCAAACCCAGAACTGATGGCATAAGGTACTCCAGCCAGTGAAAGATGGTGCAGCAAAAAACGCAAATCGATCGCTTCTCAGTCGGGAAAGTCGGGAAGGGGGCTTCAATAGGCAGGTCGCTTGGTGACACCCAAATGTCCCAGGTATCCACAATTGGCCGTGAATGTCGAGTGCCCCTGCCACGAGCCACCTGCCAGGCATGGCGGAGATTGAAGACCTTGAGGGAGACTTCGCCTACGAGCCAAAGAAAGTAAAAAGCCAGAATGTGGAAAAGTCCGATGAAGAAGCAAAGCTCACAGAAGGAGATCTCGCTCAGGTGGGTCATGAAGATGCAACCAACCAGAGTGCAAATGGGCACTATATCCAAGGAAAAATGCAGAAGGCATTGGAAGATCACATCAAATGTGCGCTGCCAGCGGCCCAGGCTAACAGACCAGCTATGGGTGTAGAATTCTCCAGCCTCCAATTCTCTCCAGGCATCGCCTACCAAAAGCCTCCGATAGGCTTCGAAGGCATCAGGTCTCCATGCGTCCTTGCACAGCAAGTAGGCAAAGCGGAGCAGGTCACTGGTGGTAGAAATTAACAAGTAGCTTCTCAGTGCAACGCCAAGGAAGCCCAGAACGGTGGTTGTGGAGACAAAGCAACAAATGCCCTCAAATCCGTAGGCCATGCTAACTTGCGAGAACCACTGGATGTAGCATCTCAATAATGCAGCAGTGCAGTTGACATATATCAAGACAGCAGACGACAAAAAGACATAGCAGTGCCAAAGTGCGAATGCCCCGGCTGCCCAAGACCGACCCACATTGGCAATACTGAGATGCCCCCAGGAGGGGATCACGTACCCGATGCAAAGGCCCAGGCGAAAGCAGCATGTGATCTCTTCCTCCTCACATCCAGCCGTGGTTCAGCATCTTTAATGCCCCAGAAGGTTGCTTTTGAGTGGTGTTTGGGTGAGCTTATTATACCTTGCTCTACCATGTCATGCCATGTGCTACGGCTCTCTTTTTCGAACACCCGAAGTATCCCGTAATTATGGCCTCACTGGTGCTCTGGGCCCTATACCGGTCCTCTTCAGAATCGGAATCCGTCAAATCGCTCAAGCTCTGCGTGGCCGTATGGCTTGTCGCTCCAAATTCTAAGCCACAGCCACCCTCTCGCGAGTCTCGTGTTTGCGCGCGTTCCAGGGCAGCAGTGGACAAGGCATGCAACATGGCTCAGCCCACCACTAGGTCACTAGATCAGATCTCGAAAATGTTGTCCATTTTCTTACCAAGGCACGAATTTGAGGAAAATCCATGCAACGCGGATCAAAGCGATTCCACTTGAAGCGCCTTTTTAGAGGGAAGAAGTCCCGTGGAGTGATTTTTGGTCGTCAACCTCTTCACAGCCTAACTGTGAATGTATGCTCTGTGGTACAAAGATGGAGGAGATCCAAACATCAACAACAAATCAGTGCCCGGTAGAAGTAGTGCGGACGACGGTTGTTTTTGGATGAAACCACCCAAAAATTGTAGTGAGGTGTTCATTCCTACTTGTTCAATTGCTGACGCAATGCTGACGCATACAATGCCAAATCATTATGACTATATCTCTCTCTATATACTTGAGGCCAAGGGGGGGGCGAAAGCTAGCGCTCCAGAATGGGAAAGTGGAGGGCAGCGAGGTAGGAAAAAACACGGCGCTCTTTTTGGAGGCAGGGGTGAAGAGTCCTTTATATGTGGCTCTTTGCCCGGATCCTCCTGCGAGAGAAGAGAGAGAAGAGAGACGGAAAGACGAGAGACAGAGAGGAGAGAGAGAGAGAGGAGAGAGAGATGAGAGAGATGAGAAAGAGATGAGAGAGATGAGAGAGATGAGAGAGATGAGAGAGATGAGAGAGAGAGAGAGACAGTGAGACAGTGAGACAGTGAGACAGTGAGAGTGAGCGAGTGCGGCCGCAAGATACGCAACGCTAACCGCATGCCAAAGAGCGTCGACAGGACGGAGTCGAACTTGCGAAGAGGGAGGAGGGAGGGAGGGA